TCTAAAAGAGAAAACACTCAACAACCCAAACACAGAGAAGAAGTGAGCTAGCATTAGCCTCACTTTCAGATAACCCCTCCAAATGAAACGCACGAGTAGAAGAGACATGAGTTTTATGCAGCTGTATGTGTGTAAGGAGATGTCACCAACAACCAAGCAGCGTCCATTACGTCATGTTCTGAAGAAAAGAACAAAAATGATCACTTTATTTGATAACTCGTATGTTGTCATGGTATAAGCTTCTTATACCATACACTGTTTTTATTTGGATAAAAAATATTCAACAGTCCTCCATCACATGTCTCTCCCCAACATTTGCAGCCTGAGATTCAGTCATTTTTTAAATAAGTAAAAAAATTTTTACAGGGTCTGCATTAGTTCCTTATCTATCTAAAAACATTCAAGGCTGTTTTTGAGGCATTAAAGGTTATTAATAAGAATGTTGCTGGACACAGATGGAGCAAATTCAATGTACATCATATACGTCGACATACAGGTCTTCTAAAAAATTAGCATATTGTGATAAAGTTCATTATTTTCTGTAATGTACCGATAAACTTTAGACTTTCATATATATTTAGGGCTGCAGCTATCGAATATTTTTGTAATCGAGTACTCTATCGAATCTTTTATCGATGAATCGAGTACTCTAATAAATTACTCTTTTGCGTTTAAAAACCATTTTATCAAATAGCATGTTATAAAATATGAAAGACCTCTTGAAATGAGAAGGCAATTGCCAGTTATTCTTCAAATTTTATTCAAAATTAGTTTTCAAAACTTCAGCACTTCAACTTTACTTCACAGTAAACAAATGCAAGCGGCTGCGGCCCAAACAGCACCAGAACCGCTCACGGCGCATGCGCAAACATGGCTCGCCAGCTGTTTCCCTATTAACATACGTTCGTTTTAATTTCTTCACTTTTTTTTCTCACACTAACAAGGATTGTTGAAAGCATGTTTGCTGTGGTTATGTCAAATTATACTGATCACAAAACATTTATTTACTTTCTTTCGTTTTCCTCCACCACTCATAAATACCCGTGTCCTCCTGCAGCGATCCTGAGGGACAAGGGACATCAATAACAACACAGTAATAAGTCCGACTGTTGTAAAAACTGCTATTTTTAGCACATTTTAAGTCTGACGTGTTGCTACCAGACGCACGGTGTGAGCTGAAACTGAGTGCTACAAATGAAAAAGTCACACAGTGTCAGCAGAATATATAGAAATACAGGCTAAAATGCATTATCTTGTAGAGGCTCCGAGTCCGCTTGCAGAAGTGACATTTACATGTGGATGTTTCCTGGTCAGGTGCTGCAGCATGGAGGATGTGGTTTTGTGGTAGGCTAAATCCATTTTACAGTATTTACACTGGACTACGTTTTCCGCCTTACGATGTGAAAAATGGTCCCACACCTTTGACATTTTGTCTTTTTCGCACTCCACCGGGGTCCACGTTGTCCGCCATGGCTTAAAAGAAGGTTAAGTGGCGTTCGCTACTCGCGTGTGCATTCAGTGCAGTGTGTATGTGCGTCACTTATTTCGGTCCGGGTGAAACATGACCATGGGCGATTGCAAAGCCATGAATTAATTAAACATGAATTAAACTAAGCTTCGAGACAGAGAATTTGACTCGAGGATTTTTTGTACTTAAATTATTCGAGGTACTCGAGGAATCGTTTCAGCCCTATATATATTAGATTCATTACACACAACTGAAGTAGTTCAAGCCTTTTATTGTTTCTAATATCGACGATTTTGGCATACAGCTCATGAAAACCCAAAATTTCTATCTCAAAAAATTTGCATATCATGAAAAGGTTCTCTAAACAAGCTATTAACCTAATCATCTGAATCAACTAATTAACTCTAAACACCTGCTTTAGATTCCTGAGGCTTTTAAAATCTCCCAGCCTGGTTCATTACTCAAACCCGCAATCAAGGGTAAGAATGCCGACCACTAATGTCCAGAAGGCCATCATTGACACCCTCAAGCAAGCGGGTAAGACACAGAAAGAAATTTCTGGACGAATAGGCTGTTCCCAGAGTGCTGTATCAAGGCACCTCAGTGGGAAGTGTGTGGGAAGGAAAAAGTGTGGCAGAAAACACTGCACAACGAGAAGAGGTGACCGGACCCTGAGGAAGATTGTGGAGAAGGACTGATTCCAGACCTTGGGGGACCTGCGGAAGCAGTGGACTGAGTCTGGAGTAGAAACATCCAGAGCCACCGTGTAAATGATGAATGATAAATGACCCGCACTTGTATAGCTCCTCTCAGAGTAAGGACTCCAAAGCGCTTTACACTACAGTGTATCATTCATCCATTCGCACACTCATTCACACACTGATGGTGATGAGCTACGATGTAGCCACAGCTGCCCTGGGGCGCACTGACAGAGGCGAGGCTGCCGAGCACAGGCGCCACCGGTCCCTCTGACCACCACCAGCAGGTGTACAGGCGTGTGCAGGAAATGCGCTACAGGTGTCGCATTCTCCAGGTCAAGCCACTTTTGAACCACAAACAGCGGCAGAAGCGCCTGACCTGGGCTACAGAGAAGCAGCACTGGACTGTTGCTCAGTGGTCCAAAGTACTTTTTTCGGATGAAAGCAAATTTTGCATGTCATTCGGAAATCAAGGTGCCAGAGTCTGGAGGAAGACTGGGCAGAGGGAAATTCCAAAATGCCTGAAGTCCAGTGTCAAGTACCCACAGTCAGTGATGGTCTGGGGTGCCATGTCAGCTGCTGGTGTTGGTCCACTGTGTTTTATCAAGGGCAGGGTCAATGCAGCTAGCTATCATATTTTGGAGCACTTCATGCTTCCATCTGCTGAAAAGCTTTATGGAGATGAAGATTTCATTTTTCAGCACGACCTGGCACCTGCTCACAGTGCCAACACCACTGGTAAATGGTTTACTGACCATGGTATTACTGTGCTCAACTGGCCTGCCAACTCTCATGACCTGAACCCCGTAGAGAACCTGTGGGATATTGTGAAGAGAAAGTTGAGAGACGCAAGACCCAACACTCTGGATGAGCTTAAGGCCGCTATCGAAGCACCCTGGCCCTCCATGACGCCTCAGCAGTGCCACAGGCTGATTGCCTCCATGCCACGCCGCATTGAAGCAGTCATTTCTGCAAAAGGATTCCCGACCAAGTACTGAGTGCATAACTGAACATAATTATTTGAAGGTTGACTTATTTTGTATTAAAACACTTTTCTTTTATTGGTCGAATGAAATATGCAAATTTGAGATAGGAATTTTGGGTTTTCATGAGCTGTACGCCAAAATCATCAATATTAGAAACAATAAAAGGCTTGAACTACTTCAGTTGTGTGTAATGAATCAAATATATATGAAAGTCTAAGGTTTATCAGTACATTACAGACAATAACGAATTTTATCACAATATGTTAATTTTTTTAGAAGGACCTGTATATACTGGACAATTCGTGTCTATAGACTCCAATTATAAGTTTTTGTGCCAAAATGGGAGGTTCCCACCACCGCCATTTTGACCATGTCACAGATTCCGTCAAGCCCAGACAATTCCAAAAAAGGGAAAAGAGGTGGGGCTGTAAGGCTGGGATGAAATGACGCCACCCGTACAACTGAAGCGATGTAGCTACAAGCTAACCCAAAGCTAACGTGGAGGTGGGAGCTAAGCTAATGGAGGTAGCTACCTAGCTACAACCGGAGTTACGATCACCTTCTGTTGATATGCCAGGCTGACTGCTGGGTAGAACCGGGTGGAACACAGAGGTCTCCCGAAAGCTCCACAAGCCGGCAGCTGCGCACCAGACATACGCCGCTGCGATCAGAGATGCGCCGAGCTGCCGCTGGGGAGAATCGGGCGGAAAACATTGGTTTCTGTCCGAGAGCTCGACAAGCCAGCAGCCCACGCAGCAGACAGGCGCTGCTGCGGTCAGAGATGCGCCGAGATGCCGCTGAGGGGAGGGGACCATACCGATAGTTGGAATCCAGCTCCACCAACATGTTATATTTCAACTCATTTTCAAAAATGCAGCGTCATGTTAAATGCACAGGGTTTTACCCTATTACATTTCAATTTTATGGTTAAACTGTACATGTTAAAATCTAAGCTCAGCTAGTGCAAGAGCGGCGGTGACCTAAAATACATAAATATGATTTTACTTACCTAAAAAATGAAGTGGAGACTCCTTGGATTCTCTATTAGTGCAATTAATGCCACATCAAGTCATTTTGTCCAACAATTGCACAAATAATATCCAAAAAAGAAAACACAAACGGCACAACTAATGGTCTAAGTTGAGAGACTGAAAATGGCGGAACAGTTTTCAGGCGAGGCCGAGGCTCGGGCTGAGGCCTTTCCACGGAGCTAGCTCTGCGGTCACGTGGGTCTGATGCTCATTAATTATTCAGAGTTGTAGGCATTTAATATACTTAAACAGAAGAGTGATGAAAAAATTCAACCCCCTCAGAGTTGTCATGAGTATAAACTAGATCTATTAAACTTAAAACATGCTTTGGTACCAGGCTGTAAACATGTTTATTTCTGCTGTGAAATTGGTATTTATAACATGGGAGTCAATGGGGATTTGCTGCTTCTTACACCAGCCCCTAGTGGATGAGGGTGGAACTGCAATTTTTGTCACTTCCGCGTTGGCTTCAATTTCTTACCAGTATTATGGGGGCTTGGCCAGATAATATTCCAGAAGTAGATCAACATTTCATGTTGCTGTAAAAATAAACCAACTAATGATCCTCTGGGGTGAAGATGGGTTGAAGGCTCTGTTTAGATAAAATTTTCTTCATAAAGTCACCTTTATAAATGATAACCTTTCATAGATTGTCCTGATGAAAGCACGTTCTCAGGTGTTTGTAAGTGTCGAGGCCCATTGAGTTTTTTTCTTGAATAAAACAGTTAAACCATCTTAACAGAGTAAACTCCATGCTGAATAGAGCTTGCAGTTATTAATTGTGTCATTAAAGTACATCTTATTTCTGTTTTCTCAGGTCCCTGAGATCATCAGTACGTTGAGGCAGGCTGGCAAAAGCTCAGCACGCAACAATGAGCTCACCACTGATTCCAGCAAGACGACCATTAGCTCTGGAGGAAGCGACTCTACTGAAACGTCCTCCACTACAAACTCTACAGCTCCCATCTCCGCTGTGTCCCCAACAACCTTTGCCAAAAAGTTTGAGGTACTGTTTTGTGGCCGAGTGAGCGTTGCTCATAAGAAGGCCCCGCCCGCTCTGATAGATGAGTGCATCGAGAAGTTCAGTAAGCTACATGGCTCAGGGTCATCTGACAAAGGAGGAAATGGTGGCAGGCTGGTGGATGGGCTGAGGAGGGCATTAAGCTTCCAGTCCAATGGACTGGGAGGTGGATCTGTACGCAATGGTTCAGCTGGGAGCCCCAGTTCTGGGACACAACCTGTTCTGTTCAAGCGAGGCCATAGTTTCCCCAGTCTGGATGCGCTGGATGAAAACGGTCTTTCACCAGAGATTTCTAATGCTGACACTACAGATCTGTTCAACTCTCCTGCTAAAGTCCAGCCCACCAGTCTGCAGGAGAACCGGACAATGCTGTTTACGGTAACTTATTCATAAATACTGGTGTTATGTGAAGATTGTGAAAGGAATGTATCAGAACTACTGTCAGTCAAGGTTTCCAATTGTTGGCTTGTTTTCTCAGTCACACATGCTGCCTCCTGCTGGCTGATCAGTAGAAAGCAGGTTTAATGCAGAAGATTCTCCAGTGGTACACAAACGAATATAGTCCGACCTTCACTCGCACAGTGATGCACCGGACCTTACATAGGAACTGCATTCGACCTCAAATTGCCAGCTTGCTAGATTTCCCTGAAAATGGTGACTGTTCAGTTGTTAGGTGCAGGTTACCTCACATGAACGTCTGTGTTCAGCTGAGCCTCCTGACTGAAACCCACAAACAGAAATCCTATTAGAGCATTTGGTATTTCAGTTTCTTTCATCTAATCCCTGTAGCAAGAAATGTGAAGCTTTTCCAGCTGGCATCATGTGAGTTTTTGCTGTGATCCTAGGTTATGTCTGATGTCAAATAAATGCATAATGCTACTACTTTTTATACGATATTTGGTCTGGTAACATTTACAACCTTGTAATAGGAACACGTCTGCGTAGGTGTCTGCTGCAGGATTAGGGTTAGCGTTATGTTTAGGTCAGCTTACTGTAAAAAGCACAAAAAACAAATTGAATTGACACAGCAGTAACAAACGCTGACAATCAGCCACAATCTTCTCATTCACCTTCACTCTGATTGGCTGTTTCCTGACAGGAAACATTCATGGTTGTCACTAGGCCTGGTACTCAGTTACTCCGCAGATAGACATACTCTTCTAAGTCATCAGACACCCTGCACATGACATCAGCTCCTTTTTTACCAACTTTAATGAAGATTTTGTTCTTTAAAATGTTATGTGAATCTTCAAAAAAGGAATATGAATATAAACACAGTAGCATGTGCTAATGAATCTATCTTCTGTGCTTATTTCAGGTGGGTAAGTCCCAGATCTTCCTGGTTAGTCCAGACACCAAGAAGGTTTCCATAGAAAAGGGTTTCAGAGAAATTTCCTTCTGCTCTCAGGTATGGAGAAATTTCCTTCTGCTCTCAGGTATGAAGCACTGGACGTCTGTTCTTACATGTCTGAGTTCATGTTTATTATAAAACCTATTTTTCTCATCACTGTCTAGGGAATTCGTCACGTTGACCACTTTGGCTTCATCTGCAGGGAAACCGATGAAAGTGGAAACTGGCATTTTGTGTGTTACGTCTTTCAGTGTACCGATGAGTCACTGGTGAGATTTGCATCTTAACAAGTCATCTAGCAGCTCGTTTAATAACAAGCAAAACACACCTTTGTACATTCAACAATATTCATGACTTGAACCTAATGTTTGTGCTTCAGTATATCACATATTTATTCACTTACACTTTGTAATGTGTTCACAAAATACATTTCGGACATTTATAAGACTTTAAACAGAGTGTACCTTGTTTAATGGCTGTAAGTGTTCAAATGTCATTTGAAAATTATCAGTGTTTTTATTCTGCTTTAAACTGTCTTATCTAGAAAACAAAGATTTAGTTTTAAAAGTGCAAAAAAGCTGAAGTGCATTTTTATTTTCAGGTTAGCTTGGATATAAAGGAAAATAATCTACAAGTTGTTGTAGACTCATGCACGGAAACTTTGATGGACGGATAGAAAAGCTCTTTTATTTGCTGCTGCAGGTGGATGAAATCATGCTGACTTTAAAGCAGGCGTTCACCGTGGCAGCCCTGCAGCAGAATGCAAAGACCCAGAGCCAGCAGTGTGACTGCTGCCCCATGCATCAGCTCCACAGACTGTGTGAGAGCATAGAAGGTAGCAGAAAGGACCGTTTTAAAGCTTGGTTTATGCTTGACGCATTCACTTTCGGCGCGGTGATGCGGCTCGCGGATGGAACACGCTTCACAACTCTCAGTGTTTATGGTTCATGCGGCTTGTCTCTGCGGTGAGCCAATATTCTCCCAAACTGTAGGGGGCAGCATGGAGCTCTACGGCATGCATCCAACACTACACCATAGTAGAAGTAGAAATTACTGTTTACAACATGGCATTCCAGTATTTTTTAACAGCGTCCTCGTCTTTTCCGGCAGTGCGAGCTATTTCTCTCCAAGAATTATTAACAACATGTTGATCACGGTGATCTCTGAGAGCTGAATCATACAAATGTCTGTATTTACGAACCTCTGCCATACTAGTTCTTGCCGGTCCGCCATGTTTTTCCACGTCTGACCGTCTGCGTGGTTAGAAAATTTCCTAGGTGCGTGTTGCGCAAATTTTGGGCCGTGTGGAAGGGCGTGGTTGTTAAAATGACGCAACTTTTCCGCGCGGACCTCGCGGACGCGTCAAGCATAAACCAACCTTAAGATAAAAGATTTCAAACTTTGATTGAATTTTGAAAATATTTTAAATGAATAATTTTTAGGTCTGCACCCATCAAAAACAAAACTGGAGCTTCAGAAACACCTGGCCACTTTGAACAACGAGGAGCAAGCTTCAGTCTTTGAAAACACTATGGTAATGTGTGTGTGTGTGTGTGTGTGTGTGTGTGTGTGTGTGTGTGTGTGTGTGTGTGTGAGAGAGAGAAGGTTGAGATGAAACCATGAAACAAACCAGGTATACATTACCCTGGTTGACTCACAGGTTCTGTGTGTGTGTGTGTGTGTGTGTGTGGGGGGGGGGGGGGGGGGGTAGGCTATGTTCACACTGCAGGCAAAAGCGTATCAAATCTGCTTTTTCCCCCCACATGCGACCCACATCTGATTTTTTTATGACAGTCTGAGCTGCACAGATCCAACTTTTTCAAATGCGATCCATGTCATTTGAATATGTGTACTGATTCCGATACATATCTGATGTTTTTGAAAGCGACTGCAGTCTGAGCGGTCATGTCGCATTAAATCCGTCTCCTACGTCAGAGTCAGCGGAGGGGAGAGTCGTGTGTGGATGTTCTGGAGGAGCTCTGACAGAAGGACTCAGGAGTCTGTCTAGACATCCTGTTTTAAGTTTTGGAATAAAAAATACAGGAGAGCATGAGAACGGGAGCAGCAGCGAAGCGTTTCGCCGCTCACCATCTTCGTGAAGGGAGGGGGTCTTATTGAATGAATTAATACTGGAACATTTTCGGTGAATAAAAATTCCGGAAGATTGCGCGAACAAGGACTAAAATAGTTTACAGTTTTTAAAACAGTTTCCAGCCCTAAACGGAAGTATTAACAGGTGTGATCCTGATCCTGTGGGTTAACTGTCAGTGAAGGCTGTTGCACAACTCGGCCGCTCCTGGTTTTGGCTGAGTGTGACTTCTTTTCTTCTGTGCACGTGGGTCGCGGAGAGAGTTTGATGTCGCATTTCAGTCATACTGTGAACAGCCACAGGAAAATAAATCAGATTTACTCAAAAAAATCTGAATTGAGCATCAAGTGCAGTGTGAACGTAGCCTTACATGCATTCACACAAGGTTAACAGGTGATTGAGAGGTTTCAGCCACCTCAGATCATTGTTCTCACTTCAGCTGGTTTATCTTTTCTCTCCCTACAAAACTATTCAAGCACGTTTACTGATTAGAAAGTATAACTGTAGTCTTAACTCCAGCGATGTCACAAACCAGTCAGAAGAATTTTAAAACATGAAAGGACTGTAGTTTAATCTTCCTGTGTGACTCAACTGGCACCTGCTGGTGGTGCAGCTGAACTACAACACTTCAGAGGTGCTGAGTAAAGGATGCGAGTATAATTAGTTGTCCTGGTAATCAGAAATAAATCTGGCTGCAGACTTCCACTGTAATGATAAAATGGTGGTGGTCTCTTTACAGTGTCTGAGATCAGTGGACTCGGTGGTCTTCTTTAAAAAGCGGCTGAAAACTCACCTGTTCAGGCTGACTTTTTTCATGACCTTTGATTCTTCATCGCTCCCTTCTCCTTATTCAGCTCTTTCTACCAGGTCCCCCTTTCTCAGGATCCACTGATGACCTCGTATTCATTTTCTCTTTCCCTTTCCTCACATTTTTTATTTTTCTCATGTTCATTATATTTTTTAATTATTTTAAATCTTCTTTATTTTATTATTTTTGTTATTTTGTTCTTGTGAAGCACTTTGTGATTTTTATGTTGTACTTGATAAAAGCCTTGATTTACTATTATTTAACTAAAGAAAATGTTAAAAAAAGTATTAGTGTTTCTATTTATTTAAATATGAATATTTATTAATATAATACAGCTGTTATATTTTCTTTCCCCCAATTTAGATTATTTTTTTACACTTGTAATTGTTTTTAACTAAGTTATATAACCATCCTTGTTGTAAATAATAAATATAAATGTATGTATGTATCCAGAGGGCTCGACCTAAGAGTGATCAGGAAGAAAATGAGTTGGTGATGGCTTCTCTAAGGAACCTCTATGAAGAGAAACAGAAAAACCACCAGCACAGCCTTCCGGGAGACAACAAACAGGTAGTTTCTACTCTATTAAACCACCTGAAAACTACCCCACCTATGTCAGTCTTTTCTCCTAGTTTGGTTACATTTCCAACATTTGTTGTTTTAGTACGTAACTCTCTTCACTCAGCTGATTGGAGGCATTTGCAGTAACTATCGCATCTCTGTGTGATGTCAGATCGGCTTCCTTTTGAGTCCTCTGTGTTTGTAGGTCTTTGAGGATGCAGCTCCAGCTCCTCAGGATGGACCACAGCAGATTAGTAGTCGGCTGGAGCTGTTCAAAAGCCGAGCCAAGCGCTCTCTCACAGAGTCCCTGGAGGGCATCTGGAAGGTTTGTGATGGTTTCTTTACAGGAAGGACACATCAATTTAAGGGTTTATATATACTACCAGTCAAAAGTTTTACAACGCCCCAATTTTTCCAGTTAATTATTGCAATTTAAGTCTAACATACGCCCCAATTTTTCCAGTTAATTATTGCAATTTAAGTCTAACATATGCTTGAAATGGTGCAAAGATAAGTGGTGAACTGCCAGAGGTTTAAAAAAAATAGGTAAGGTTACTCAAAAGGAAAAATAATGTACATTTCAGAAATATACAAAAAGGCCTTTTTCAGGGAACACAGCTGTTCTGCAGCAATAGAGGTTGATCACGCCTTGAAAGCTGGTGCTAATAATTCCCACAGGTGTTCCAACTTCTCTGGATTACTTCCAACCCCCTCTGTCTGCATAAAAGCAGTGTTGGAATATACTGTGGTACCATACTAGGGATGTCCCGATCAGGTTTTTTTTGCCTCCGAGTCATTTGATTTTGAGAATCTGCCGATACCGAGTCCCGATCCGATACTTTCTATACATAAAAAATAAAAATAAAGAAAAGGAAGAAACAGTTCCAGAATGTTATTTTTTATTTTAATTTTTAACAGCAAGTCACTTCTGTGAGGTAGCTTGAACAATCAAGTAATAAATAACATAAGTTATTCACTTTTGGACTTTATTGCAAATATAAAAAGTCTAATATAAAAACAGATAGTACTTCAACTTAAAATTCCTGGCAGGGGTCTTTGCCTCAGCCCCCAAAATGCTTAGCTACGTCCCTGGGCATGGGACTGAGTTTTGAAGATTGAACTGTATCATCTATATAAATACTACATGCTGATAAAGTATTGTTTTATACAGGTACAAACGTGTAATGGGATAAATTACCTACATTTTATTTTTTAAGAACTTTGTTTTGTTTTCATGGTTTTTATTTTCCTGTCTTCCTGTCCCGTCTGTCTCTGATCTTCTTGTCCCGTCTGTCTCTGACCTTCCTCGTTAACAGCTTGCGTGATAGGCGGCTCACGGGACAACCGCTTCAAGCACAGCTTCATAGTGGTCGTAGTGAGCAAGTCTCCGTTTCATGGGAAGAACTTTCTGAAGAATATTTGATTTCTATTGTAGAAAGAATACCACGAGTGTGTTCAGCAGTTATATCTGCCAAAGGCGGCTACTTTGAGTCAAAAATTTAGAATACTTTGGTCTATAAATTGATTCCATGATTTCTTTTTTTACTCTAATTGCTTATTTGTACTATGCTTTCATTTCAGAATGCAATGTGACATTAAACTGCATAATTTCCAAAAAAAAAAAAAAAAAAAACTAGAACAATTGGGGCGTTCTAAAACTTCACCGGTTGTGTGTGTGTGTATGTGTGTATATGTATATATATATATATATATATATATATATATATATATATATATTAGGGGTGTGGTACTGTTCAGTGTTTTGAAGGGCTCGGTTTGATGAATTTTCTGTATATTATTATTAGATTTATTTATTTATTTAATATCTGAAGCGGCTCCTTTAGTGAGCAGAACCAGGTGTCGTCACAGGCTGCTAATCTAGCATGATGTATTTATTTATTTATTTCACAAGGTATTTGCACCACAGACATATATACATAGATGCCCCGTCGACTGTTGTCTATTGGAGATGCCGTAGTGGCCGACCACCGTTTTGGATAGATTAGCCCCCGGTGCATTGATTTCTACTGAGGAAGTTGCTTACCCAACTAAAAACCGCGTTTTATCAAGCATTTTCAAAAAAATCAAACACAATATAATTAAATACAAATAAATATTAATTATATCAGGTCGACTAGAAAAGTCACTAGTAATCCCATGTGGTCTGTTTTTCAATTGCACACTGGTTGTTGTAACCGTAGGCTGCACAGAAACGGGCATAGTTGCTCACTCTGCATTGACTTTGGAGAGTGAGGAGACCCATCCAACATGGTGGCGATGCTGTTGCACTCTCCAGCACCCAGTGGGGAGTCTGCGTATTCATGTCTGTGATTTGCCCAGCTCATTCTCATACAGACAAGTGTTGTGTTTGACGTGTTTTTATTTCTTTAAAACTCACCTCACACTGCCCAGAGTTTCTTTAAGACTCGTATTAAATAACGGGCTTCCTCCGCACCGCATTTCTCGTTGTAAGATGAAAAATTCACATCAGTTGTCACAGCGGAAGAGTTCAGCAGACATGTTTGTTTACATTTTTGCCGCTGCGGGCCTGCACACTGAGAGAAGGGAGACTGAGGCGACACGATGCTCCGTTCAGAGTCTACACAGACTCCACAGTAGCAGCAACAGTCAACTGGTTTGATCTGCTCTGAAAGACGTTGATCAGAATTTGCAGATCACATTTTTTAAACTGAGATCAGGCGCGTGCAGTCATCCTGTGTCACTCAATACAGCGTTCACGAAGAAACTCGTCGAGGAACTCCTATCCGCTGCACTTAAATCACGCAAATTTGTGAAAAATTCAATAATAACAGAAAAAATAAACCGAAACTGTACTCAAGTGGACCAAACCGAACTGCCCGAACTGAAACGGTTCAAATAACCCCCGTGAACTGTTACACCTGTAATTTATATATATATATATATATATTGATAGATACATACTTCTGCCATGGTTGAGCCAATGTAGGGGAAGCAATGATCCTTAATTTGCGGCAGCAGTAGCTCAGGTGGTAGAGCGGGTTGCCTCATGATCGGAGGGTCATGGGTTCGATTCCAGCTCCCGCCAGGGGTATCCTGCTGTTGTGTCCTTGGGCAAGACACGTCACCCAACTTGCCTGTGTTAGTGGTGGTCAGAGGGGCCGACGACGCCAAATGGCAGCCTCGCCTCTGTCAGACCTCCCCAGGGCGGCTGTGGCTACAAGTAGTCTACCATCACTAGCAGTGTGTGAACGTGAGAGTGTGTGAAAGCGTCTTTGGGGGTCTAGAAAAGCACTATATAAGTTCAATACATTATTATTATTATTAATTTATGCACATTTAGTTAAGTCTGAGCTGTGCTTTGATACATCGGGTAATCTCTCTGGGTTTTAAGATCCAAGCAGCAAGTACTTCTGAAGTCTTCAGTACAGATGATTTCTTTCATTATTCATTACATTATATAGTCTTTCATGAACTATATACTAAAATGCGCATGTAATTCATTCAAGCAGTGGTGAGGTTATTATTTACAGTTTAAACTGAATGTATAATCTGGGATTGTGTGTTTTTAGGGAAGTAGCAAAGCCAGACTTCAGAGAGACAGCAGTCAGGGAAGTGAGAGCAGCTCTACTGCCAACATTAGCCAAGATCAGCGGTCTCTGGATGACCCCTTAATGTCCTCACCTCATCTACGATCCACCAGCCCTCTCAGGTAAACACACCTACTCCTGGATGTGGCCACAAGCTGACGTATCAGGGCAGGCTTCGGCTGAAATGTACACAAGGCCGATTTACTTTATTTGCTCTTGTCATACTGTAGGTGAGCTCACACTCTGCCTTGTGTGAGGTTAAAAACAGGTTCTGGTAAATGTTGGACCTTCACAGGGTCAGGGCCTCACAGTCTCTCCTTGTTTGTTTTTCAGAGGCCACAACTCAACAGGTGACCTGAAGCTTCTCGGCAGTTCTCCTCCTCTATCATTCACCTCCTCCTCTCTACCTGGTGATCCAGAGCTGCAGGGCTTCCGCCGTAGAGCCAGCACCTTCAGTCATTCCCCCTCCTCTTCCTCCGTATTCGAGTTCTCCCCGCTGCACAAACTGTCTCACACCGGACAGGACACCAATACATCTTCCAAACCCAAACTCGTACGACACTACTCAGTCAGCACAGACTCCCCACATCAGAGCAAGTAAGTTCCTGCACTTAAACATGTTTTATTTGTTTTTAAATCAAGTTTGTTTGAATTAAAATGTGGTTTTGTGTTTAAAAAAAAAACAATGACAAATTTGTCTTCAATTTGCTCGTCTCCACATGTTCAGTATAATAAGTTCAGCTCTCAAAAGCAAGATTTATTTTATTATTAGAGAATGACTGATAAGGATTTTTTAAGGCCGATATCTAAAGCAGATTATTAAGGCTGATATATATATATATGTGTATATATATATACACATATATATATATATATATATGTGTATATATATATATATATGTGTATATATATATATATACGGTTTAGCAGCACATTGATTGTGAAAGACAACTGAACATTCACTGTGTGCAATATAAATTAAATAAGTCAATAAATCTATTAATAATTATTGAACTTTAAATATAAAACAAACTCAAAACATAAAAAATATGGTGTGTTGGGGTCCTTTGGGTCCTTTCTTCAGTCTTTTTATCGGCTTTTAACTCATTCACTACCATTGACGGCAAAAGTTGTCATTTTAAATCCAACCGTTCACTGTCGATGACGACTAAAGTCGACATTTACATTTTTTTTACTGTGTGGGCGTCGGAACGAGCCCCCGCACGTGAGAACATACATCCCAGCTCTAAAGCCGATCGTTATCCGCGTACGTCACACGTCACATGACCAGGAAGCAGAAAATCCATGTGTTAGGAGATCGTTTTGGGCCGCTGCTGTAATAAAAGTGAGGCAGGAACCGGAAAAGCTTCTGCTGATCACAATTCAACAACGGATTATGAAAGCGCGGATAACGCTCGAAACGTGCGGATTCTTCCTGATGTAAGAGGTGAATCTCCTCTTTGTTTTGGTTGTTTTGGCGTCGACATCATGCTAGCGCGCATCGTTCTGTGACTCTTAAAAGAAACGCTAAAAACGCTGGCAGCAAAGAGTTTTTCTGATCAGGAAACGGCTGGCAGTGAATGAGTTAAAACTAATTTCAGCCGATGGTTGATATAAAAACATTTTTATATATCGGCCGGCCTCTATAGTTTATTTTCACACAGCTATTAAATGCTTTACAGTAGGAGCCATAAATCCTATGCCATCTGCTCACTAAGCGTTGCATCTCTACACACAAGCTGCCAGGCTAGTTTGTTCAGTCATTGATCTTACAGGTTATTCCTACGCTAGTAAAGGAAATGAAACAAATTTGATATCTGAAGCATGAACCGTCTCTGTGCGTTGTTGTGGTTTATCTTTGTGATGTGTTGAAGCTGACATCCGTTTAAAAGAATGAGGAATTGGACGGAGTTGTTTCAGTCATCGACCACACTTTAGATCTGCAGTAATATTTCCAGTGTGCATCTGTGGGTTATTCTCCTCTCCTCCAACTGGTGCTGCACTTCTCCACCTCTTTATCTGTGTTCAGATACTTTCAGAGAGAAAGTAGAGCTTGTTCAGACGGACAATCCTGATTCATTCATCAAATTCAAGACTATATTTGCTTAATGAAACATTTCATGGTGAAGTAAACAAAGCTTTTGACATTTTTATAAATAATCAAATAAAAAACAAACTTTCTATTCATTAGCAATATTTGTCCAAGCTCTGCAAATTCTGCTGTCTTATCATCTTTTTTCTTGTTTCCCACTCAGTGCCTACCACCCTCCTCTTTTTCTCTGTTTTCACTGATTCTCAGAAATGTCTCAACCGACTCCACCCTTCCTCCTCTTCCTCCCTGCTCTTCATCCCACTCTCCTGTCCTCCTCCACCATCCTTCCTCACCCTCTGCTGGAGCCCGGCTCAGTAAGAGAAGGTGAGAGTTCTGTTTTCTGTTCAGCTGTCTGCATTATCTCTTCTGTGTGTAAATAATAAAATTCATACTGCTACTAGACCTTTCTGTCTTATGTTACTATGATGGGACTCATTCAGGCAGAGACATGTCCAGCTGTTTACTGTGCTTTCTTATTAAGAGAAACCGGAGATAGTTTATTGAATCTTCGTGGAGTTTAAAGCAACACATCTCTGAGTGAAATGGGGCCATGTTTGTTTTGTCGTCTGTTTTTTTTTATTTACTTCCTTTCTGTCACCATCATCTCAGTCCTCTCGGTGGTCTCCGAGCCCGTCTCCACTCCTCCTCTTCTGTCCCTAATTTTCTGAAATTTCAATTTCTGGCTCCTGTCCAAGAGAATGATTGTCCTGATCTGAAGATCAGGTACACACTAACACACACTCTGACTTGAACACCAAATAATCACCCCTATGTGAGTGAGTCAAACACTGTAGCTGTGTGTGTGTGTGTGTGTGTGTGTGTGTGTGTGTGTGTGTGTGTGTGTGTGTGTGTGTGTGTGTGTGTATGTTCAGTGACGTAGCAGGCCTTTCCACATCGAGAGCAGCAGGTGTTTTAGAGGAAAGTCCTCTGCGGAGCCACCGACACTCGTGGAGGCAGCAGATCTTCTTGCGCGTAGCCACACCCCAGAAAGCCACAGACTCAAACGGTACGTATGGAGACTTGATCATCCGCTGTTATTTTAATATACTGATGACAGAATAATTTAAGTTTCCTATTCATCGCTAAATCAGATCGTCTTTATTCTTTATATGTAGTTTTTATTTTAGATTTTTCTGTGTATATTTACAAAAGTTAAAAGTGCATTACCTTTAGACCGCTGAGTTCTTAAGGTCAAAAAGCAGCGCATGGCAACTGTAATGATGAGACATGTCCTCTATGTGTCGCTGTTGTCCTTGACGTGGTGAGAGCTGCATTGTGTGGAAGAGAACATTTGTGTGATTCTATCATTTTCTATGGAGAACCTGAACTTATTTATCTTTCGTATGTTCTTGCTGTGTTAAGTTTCAAACAGCATTTTTGGTTCTTTTTTAAAACACAAAAAATGTTTATTATTTACCTTGCTGACAGTTTTGTTCACCGGCTGTAAAGGCTGTCAGCTCTGAGGAAGTTTACAGCCGGTAAACGAAACTGTCCGCAAGGTAAAAAAGAAACATTTTCTGTGTTTTAAAAAGAACCAAAAAAATGCAGTCTGAACTTATTTATTTGCCACTTCTAATTTTGTTGTTTTCTCAACATTTTCTCTGGTGATCCTTGGTGAACTCCTTTATAATTCTGTTGGTGTCAGCATTAAATAATCTGTTTGACCTTTATGCCACATTATTTTAGATGTTTAGTCTAACAGGCATCCATAATCTGTAATTGTCAGCTAATATACAAAGGAAGGTTTTGCTCAAGAAGAATTACATTTGAAATGAAGCTAAAATAATCTCAAGTCAGTCGGGCTTTGGGTGAAACCTCTCAGATGTTCCAGATGACTGAAGATGAGCTCTCCAAACAGAATTGTTTTTTTAACCATCTTACAAACATACATCACCGTGCCAGCCTGTATGCTGAGTTGGTTGGGATAAAGGTGTGTGTGTGTGTGTGTGTGTGTGTGTGTGTGTGTGTGTGTGTGTGTGTGTGTGTGTGTGTGTGTGTGTGTGTGTGTGTGTGTGTGTGTGTGTCTTACCCTTAAGTAGGTATTGGGAAACCCGTTTTCTCATTTTATTTAAGAGTCAGTTAGAGCCAGATTTACTAATCTTGGTGATCACAAGTGCTGCAATCTCAAGCTTAACATTCGATTACACTTATTATTTTTATGTGATTCCTGATTTTTACCAGGTGTGCAGTTTCTACTTGTTTTGTCTCCTTTTAGTGGCTGAAAATTCTAATTTTATTTAAAAACAACCTAACTTGAACCTAAACAGCCTCATTTACCGGCTCCAAAGAAGCCTTTTGCCTTTTATCTATGAAGGCAACATTTAAAAAATTATTTTCTAATTCATTCCGGCTCTTGGAGAGTACAGACGCTTTTTCCTCCTCTCCTCCCTCTCTTATCCCAAGGCTCTTTGTCCTGTCTTTGTGTGCACGGCTCTTTCTGCATTATTTCTGGAAACTGGAAATGATTAAAAATGGACCTGGTCAGCTGGTCTCTCAACGCGATTGACAAAATTTTTTCAACGATGAGAACGGGAGAAGGGGCTCCCAGGTGCCCCTTTGGGACAGATCCGGTTGGACATATCATGGACTCCTGGAAACAGTGGAACCTGATCTGCCTCTCTCAACTGTCTGTAGAGGATTCTGAAGATGTTTGGATATTTGTGGTGTTGGTGTCGGGATTCTTGCGGTTTGGCCTGAGCGGTTACCCGGCTCACCGGAAAATTAATGAGCTGTCCAGGAATATTGGCTCAATCCCAAAGCTCAGGGATGGGTTACACCGCGCTGTGAACGCACAGACTCATATCATTGTCGAGATGAGTTGTAAGCTTGGAACTTTGGCTGAGATTCAGGCTCTGGCACAGAAGATGGATTTGATCAGAGAGAGTTGACGGGACAGCACGGATTGGGAATAGATTAATTTACGCCATGATTGGGATCCAGAGGAGTTGGAGATCAACAGAACTTTAAGGCAGAGAGGAAATGATCTCTTTCTGGCCCCAAAACAAGTTCTTATCTGAATCTGGTGCCCTTGAGCCTGTAAGGCTGAAGTGAATACTCCCCCTCAGAAGAAATGTGGAATGCTGCTGTCACCATGGCAACTCTGTCTTCCTATCCCAGCCTGGGCGGGACTGTGACCGGTGAAGGTCGTGGAACCGTTTCCAGGAGTCACTGTGCTTTCTAACCCATTATCTCCCTCCCCAGTCCAAACGGAGGTGACGAGCGCTGCTCATTGCAGCTGCATGTACTGATGTTAGGAGAGTCCCCAACCCTACCTCCCCACCTAGTGGACACTTATGTTGTGTAATGTCTGAAGTCTGTTGCATTTCTGTCTGAGGTGTTTTTTGCAGAGCAAAGCTGTCCTCCCTGTGGAGGGTAACTGAAGTACCTTTTTTTCCTCCACCTGACTCAATCCTCATATAAACCCTCTGATCTCTATTAAGGTAGCGCGGCTCGGGTTGCGAATGACCACAGTCACCAATTCTTGTCATGTGTCTGTATGTATGTCTGATCTCAGAATTGTGTGTACTGAAACTCTAATTTCCCTCTGGGATTAATGAAGTATCTTTGAATTGAATTGATTTGAATTGTACAGAAATCTGTCTGAGTTTCTAAGTTCTTCATGTAATATTGGATTTATGACCACCTCCATAATGCACCAGCAGGATTTATTTTCTTTGCAGGTTTGTTTGTAGCTCTGTTAACTTCTGCACACACCCATGCAGCGTTTGCTCACGTATCTAATAGGTGGAATGTGGGATTGTCTGCCATCCTGCATAACATGTTGTTTATAAGAATTGAGTAAAGTAGCGTTGGTCTGTTCATTTCCCTCCTCAAATGAAAAGAACAGGAAAGACATCTGTCCACAGTTCTGAAAAGATCTGCACCAAGTAGAGGGAAAAACCGTGACAGCCATTGCTTTTAGCAGGTCAGAATGAATGCTTTGTTCTGCCTGAATGCAGCGCAAAGTTTTGGTTCATTTGGGTGTGTCTGTGTGTCCTTACATACATGAGGTCATGGGTGTGTGTGTGTGTGTGTGTTGTGTGTGAGGGGCGTGCGTGTTGGCAGGGGATGGTGGTATGAAGGTCATGTTGACAGTCCGCGCGCACACACACACACACACACACACACACACACACACACACACACACACACACACACACACACACACACACACACACACACACACACACACACACACACACACACACACACACACACGCGTGCAGTGCCAGAGGACAGCACCAGCCTTGTTCACCCACCTTGTATGTTTGTTCTAGCCACATTATTTGCTCAGGAAATGGTCTGCTCCACTTTGTGCAGAAAATAACTTGTTTGTGTTTGTAGAAGGGAAGATGCAGAGGGTACCTGTGTTTGTGTGTGTGTGTGTGTGTGTGTGTGTGTGTGTGCGCGCGCATGGGACATGTACCTGTCTACACCTTTCTGAAAAGTACAGTTATACGATTATTTATTCTGTATCTTGGAAACCATCTCAAAACAAATTCATAGTGCCATAATGTTGAGCCTGTACCTGCAGACGTGTGCCTGTGCATCAAGGGCAACTTCCAGGCTTTCTTGGAGGAATCACTATAAAGATCCGTATCAAGTGTGCATACCTGAGCCGGGCTCAGATACGTTGCGTGCGTGGCCGAGCTTAAGTGATCAAACTATTATGATTTCTTACGAACTGAAAGAGAAGCAAGTGCTTTCTGGATTGTTGGTATGTTGTAAACAACACGGGAGTATTTAGAGGTTTGGGATCCACCCTGTACTTTAAGGTGGAGTCACACAAACACATTTTAGGCATCTTTATACTCGGATATATTTATATTGTTTGCAAGAGTGTCAGAAATCTGAGACCATCCAGGCAACTTTCAGACACGTTGGACTAATTTATTTGACTTTGCATTTATTAGAACTCAATTTGATGTTATAAATATTTAAATCAGATGTGATGTTTAGGACTTAAAACATTAGATGAGAACAACCCAGGTCAAAAATGTGTGTATTTTCATTCCAGAGTGTTGTCCTGGTCTTAAGAATGAGTAGACTTTTGCAACCTGAAATAAACGTGCAAATATTTGTTTGCATTCTTTGGAATTTTTTGTGTTCACAAAAAAATTATAATTTTGGGTACATTTTACCTTTGTTTTTTCTACATTTATTCTTCAAGCATATCCCATGTTTGTTTTTATAAACTGCACATGCACAATATTAGCACTGCTTACAGTTATATCTACATTATATCTTTATTTTTTTATCTTGATCCAGTTGACTTCAGCTTTGATCATGTGCTATGAGCTAAAATTCTGATTTGAAATAGTAAGAAAACTCAAAATATTTTTATTTTCTAATTTGCATACTAGGGTTCTTGGTTTTGAATTCAAACGGAGGCAGAAATAACGGCGTCTGTTTTCAGGGCCTTCATGTAATAATCTGATGCATCTTTCAGAGCGGCTGGATTCCTGTCTGGATGGAGGTCGAATTTGTGTGGGCCCAGCGGTGGCAAGTGGGAGTGGAGACCCTATGACGGCGGTGCCAGAGGAGAGTACAAAGAGGAGCAAAGAGGAGTTGAGGGAGCTCTGGAGGAAGGCCATTCTGCAGCAGATCCTTCTGCAGAGGATGGAGAGAGAGAACCAGAAGCTACAAGGTGAATTGGATGGAGGGAATTGCTAAGCTAAGCCTGATGTTACAGTTGCCAGCATCCACTTTGTCATCAGTATTGAGGTGAAAACTGTAGCTCTGGTTTTATAAACGTGTGTTTGGAAACTGCAGTGTCAGCCTGCTTCCTAAAAACATCAACATCTAAATACCTGAAATAAAATCTCTTTAAATTGCTATAAATTCAGATAAATCTGATTAAGGATTTAATGAATGTAATAAATTCAGAATCTATTTTATTGTCTCGGGTGGTGAAACTTCACTCATGCAGCACCGTCAGTCATTCGTCTGATGATGGATTTCAGATGTTTCTTTGGTAGCTACACAACAAAACAAGTTTCTCTTTATGACCTCTTTGGCAACGAGCCTTTGCAGATGTGCAGTCAAAGACTTTCAGTAATTAAAGACACACCTGCTTTTCTAGTTTGTAAAAATTACACAACCACAAATTAGCGTTATATAATGTGTTTTTGTGTGTGTGTGTGTGCGTGCATGCGCGCGTCCACCTGTTTTTGTCTTGTAAGTGGGTGTTTTTGGGTGTGCCAGGTGCACCGCCTTTTTCCTGACCCAGTTGGCGTGTGTCTTTATACACAAACGCCGTGTCACGGCCTAAACTACCTGTCTCAGATGTAATCCTTTAATTTACACACACCTAACTCTCCATCCAACACACACTAATACAGATGGCAGCAATCACAGCTAGCTGTGGTTCAACTTTAATATTGATGCCTATATTTACACATTGCTGCAGTAGTGTGGGACTGTTTTATGGGCTGGTGTTTTCTCTCCATGTTTGTAGCTCAACACATTAATGTTGGAATCCATTCTTTCTGTCTGGAATTTGGGTCAACTATGAGTGTGTGCGCTGCCATCATGTTGCGTGTGTGTGTGTGCATGTGTGTCAACTTCAGGGTGGGGTATCCTGTCCTGCTGTGTGTTATCAAAGGCGGTGGAGCAGAGAAAGGGAAAGAAATGGAGGCAGGGCGAGATTTGAAGGTGGAGGCAGCGAGCAAGCGCCAGCTGGGCTGCTGCCAGCGGGCGAGTCCTGATAGACGAGATTCTGCTTGTTGCAGACAGATGAGGCAAAGCGACGCTGCAGCTTCACAGACATCATCTATTCTTACTCTGGGTGTGTCAACCATCTGCACCATCCAGGTTTTATTCTTTTATTGTCCACAACACTCTTTCCAGGTTGTTTTCATCACTTTCCTGTCACTGACTGCTGAGATCATTACATAAAAATGATTTAAACATTTATGTGCTTTTCAATAAAATTATTAATGTATTGGTTGAGTTTATTTTTAGAAAGCAACCCACTAAATAGGCTGTGGTGTTTTTTTAATTTTTTAATTTTTGTTTTGTATTTCAAGTCTTGTTAAATCATTTTAACTACATATTACTGACTCACACAGGATCATGATTATTTTACCAAACCCCTCCTGTTTGCTCCTTCATTTTCAGAAAGGTATCAGTGCAGAGTTTCATGTAGCACAGCCTACGGTCATTGTCCAAAAAGGATGATTTCACTCTGCTGAACACGACCTAGCTGCAGCTGGTCACTAAGTGTACACCACCCATGATCGGAAAGGGTGGAGCGTCCGCTTGGGACCGGAGGGGGAGTCAGCCTGATGGACTTCACAAAAGTGGAATTGGATGAATGAAAACTAGTTCAGCAGCAAGAAAAAAGAAAAGAAAAGATGGGTTGTGGGTTTAGAGACTTGAAGAGGAAGGGTGTTGTCAAAAAGAGAGGAACGGGAGAGGGTTTGGGGTGTTTTCTCACCTTTTGATCACTGGTGTCATCAGCAAGTAACGGAAATCCTAGTTTGGATGTGTTTATGTTTTTTTTTCTGAGTATTTTCCATTTCATAGTTTAAGGCCAAAGTTAAAACATCTAAACGAATGTTTTCTGACCCTGTCAATAAAATGACGACATCTCCTGTGGGAGATTACATAGACCCTAATTATAGTATTATTGGATATAGTCACCTAATAAGACATGAGGGTGTAGGCTGAGTACTGCTTCAAGAATTAATCTCAGAGCTGAGTTATGTTTAAGGTAAACATCTGGTATTATTACATCACAGTGTAAATAATAACAAGTATTTGCCCTCAGGTGGGTGCATGATTAGCTATAATACTGTGAGTTTGGGGTTAACGTGATAAATGTGTGTGTTTGTCTGCAGCCTCAGAGAGTGATCTGCAGAACAGGCGCCTGAAGTTGGACTACGAGGAAATCACTCCGTGTCTGAAGGAGGTCACTCTGGTGTGGGAGAAAATGCTGGGAACTCCTGGGAGGTCAAAGGTCAAGTTTGACTTGGACACCATACATGCTGCTGTTACACAAGGTTGATGTCTACTTCCACAAATACAAAAAACAATGCTTCATAAAGTTGCTAGTTCATTTTTGTTGAAGCAATGCCAACATGCTAAGAAGTGAGACAAGCTCAGATCCATCTTTGTTCCGACTTTGTTCTCCTCAGACCACGGGGAAGTTTAACTCCTGTAATCTCAACTTATTCCAAACAGAACAAATGATTATAGAGAGGCTACAGAGTGGAGAGTATGATAAAACAAACCTGCTGTACTGAACTACATAGCAACGCTCTGTTTACTGATCAATATTCATCCCAGTCCTCACCTCTGTTCATGAGCTGGCAGTGATGACATGATTATCAAGGTCACAAATAACAGCAGCAGTACTAAGTTTCATCTTTGGGGTGGCTGATCCTACTGGACACGCCTCTCAGGGGAGGTGTTTCAACCGCGTCTTTCCTACTCTACTGTTCTGGGTCGAGCTGAGATGCACTGTGGGGATTGTATTTCCACGGTGTCCATGGGACACCTTGAGATCCCACTAGTGGAGATGTATGACGCGGTATGGGGGCCAAAATTAAGACTACTGCCCAGCAGCAGGAGGCTACATAATTTCCAAAGCAAACTACCGACCTGATTAATGATAAGCTGGTGCTGGTAACTGAGAGGCTGGCGCTGCTTACTGAGGAATAGCACCTTTACCAGCATTATTACTAGATATGCTAGGGACTAGCAGCCCTCTGCTGTCTATTAGCATGGATAGGCTAGCATTAGCCTGGACGGGCTGGTGTTAGCATTGGAAAGGCTAGCCATTAGCATGGATAGGCTGGCGTTAGCATCGGAGAGGCTAGCCATTAGCATGTCTCAGAGAGTCACTAGTCAGCTAGTGGCCAGCCTAGGCACGCTAATGGCTAGCCTCTCCGATGCTATTGCCAGCCTATCCATGCTAATGGTCCATCAAGGGGTTAGGAAATCCAGCTAGTGGCCAGCCTAGGCACGCTAATGGCTAGCCCGTCCAGGCTAATGCTAGTCTATCCATGCTAATAGACAGCAGAGGGAGTGCGTGAACCAGTCAATGACCAGCCGAGGGCTGCTAGTCCCTAGCGCATCTAGTAATAATGCTGGTAAAGGTGCTATTCCTCAGTAAGCAGCGCCAGCCTCTCAGTTACCGGCGCCAGCTTATCATTAATCAGGTCGGTAGTTTGCTTCAGAATTTATATAGCCTCCTGCTGCTGGGCAGTAGTCTTAATTTTGGCCCCCCATACCGCGCCATAGAGATGATCACGGTTGGTCATGGTTGTTAGAGAGAGAACAGTTTGGGCCTCACAAATACTCTATGTGGGGGCACCTCTTAGGTTAAACAAAACATTCCTGGTCTGACAGCAGGTTATACTAAATACTGATGACAGATGTTTTACCTGCTTGTGCAACTTAAAGTCTTTACATAAATATAAAGTCTAATTTGAGTTTGTCAGATACAGTTTGACCAGCTCAGTGGCCTAGTGGTATGAGTGTCCACCCTGCGACTGGGTGATCGGGTTCAAATCCTGGTTGGGTCATACCAAAGACTTTAAAAATGGGACCCAATGCCTCCCTGCTTGACGCTCGGCATTAAGGGGTTGGATTGGGGAGCTAATCCACCAAATAGTTCCCGAGTGCAGCCGTGTCATCACTCGCCCAGAGGATGGGCCAAATGCAGAGAACTAATGGGACTTTAACTTCACTTTAGTTTGACCTAGTTTACAAATTTCAGTCATCTTCTGTCTGTTGTCACGCAGGTGTCCCAAGGCAGCATCGAGGTGAGATCTGGAAGTTCCTCTCCGAACAGTATTTGCTCAGACAGACGGTTCCTTCACGGCCTCCGTCCAACTCCTCTCCGTACAAAGAGCTGCTGAAACAACTGACCTCACAGCAGCACGCCATCCTCATAGACCTGGGTAACGCACACAAACACTGCGGGCCTTTAAACATCTGATGATGCTGCATTAAACACCTTTTAAAAGTATAAGAATCATCAGATGACACACCATACCCAACAACATCTTCGTCATTTTTACAGAACAAATCAAAAAGAGCTTTTGGAGTCTGAAGCGGCTCTGACTCAGACCTGTTATATAAAACCTTGAGTAAATAAAACTTCTCTCTACTAGACTACTTTGGAAGTTTCTGATTTGACTTAAAAGTGAATGAATTTAAAGTGATTAAATTTTTTACTGTATTTCTCACCAACTCCAGTAGAAAAACATGTAAAATGCAAAAGTTTTTAATCTGCATACTCCCGTCTCATTTTATATCAAATCAGCTCAAAATTTCTATGAAAACGGATTAAAAGGTAGTTAAGAAAGCAAATGACTACGCCTGATTTTTAAAGTTATTGTTGACCTCATACCTTTAGATTTTAAAAATAATTCAGTAAAAGTGCAAACTATGGAAACGTGCAACATATTTTTCACGAATGTTGACACTACACCTAACACCCAAAAACTCACATATACAGTTGTCGGTTTCTACACCCCACCCATATAACACCCACACACACCAATCCCTGACCTCATGTGTCGTAGCTGTTGTTCATTCGTTCGTCTTTTGTAACTAGATCACACTGAAAAACAGCGTTCGCTTGAGCCGTTTACTAAAAAAAAAAGTGTGTGTGTGGTTTTGAGGTGCAGGGAGGTCATATTGATAAATGCTGTTGCACACTTGGTGTTAAAAGCAAATATGTGCACGAGCACTCCAACACGTCCAATGAAGACACGCTTTTTCTTGAGCGGAGTGTGGAGCCGTGACATTATGTTCACGAAAGCCCTCAGAGCAACATTCCAAACATACAGACTCACAGGGTCGTCGTTGTCTTCCTCACACCGTCTTCTCTAAAGTACACAGGCCCTCTAATTGCCCATCTGCCCTCGTTGACTGTGTTTTATGGACTCAGACCTTTATGTACAAGATATTTGTTTTTTAAATGTGGATTTCTGAGGCTGCAGGATTGACCTTCTTTACCTTTCTTCACATAAAGCTACGTGTGTGTGTGTGCATGCGTAATTGTGTTTTCAGGAACAATTTAGTTCAGGGATTGTTGGCACATATTCAACCACTGAATACTTTTTTTTTTTTTTCTTTTGTTGCTATCGGCAAAGTGTAAAATCTACCATCCCAAGGCGAAGTTCACTGCTCTGAACACTTTGTTCAAACGTGCAGGATTTGGTCTCCTGGATCCCTCGTTCGCTCAGATTCTTGTGCACACTGTGTCAGACAAAAATGAGAACATGTAGTTCAATAAAGCTGTAACACTCCTTTTCAAAGGCTTAAATCTTTTTCATGGTTCTGCTATTTTTTATGTAGTTTAGGGTATTTAAACAAATATTAACCATGAAATAAATCATATGGCTGTATTTTCTCCTCCAGGTCGCACTTTTCCCACTCACCCATATTTCCAAGCCCAGCTGGGGGCAGGACAGCTCTCTCTATACAACATCCTGAAAGCCTACTCACTGCTCGACCCTGAGGTATCTTTTTATCTTTTAATCATAATGTCTTGTAGTCTGTTAATTGTGGGCTCTAGGATGGTGCCGTTAGTTGCCTCGCAGCAGTAAGGTCACATGTTCAAACCCAGCTAAAGTCTTTCTGTGTGGAGTGAGCATGTACTGTCTTTGCATCTGTGGGTTTTGGCCATGGAACTCCAGTTTTCCCTTACAGACCAAAACATGCATGTCAAACACTTTGGTGACTCTAAATTGTCCCTAGGTGCGAGTGAGTGAGTGAATGGGCGGGTGAGTGCATGATTGTGGACTGAAGACCTGTCCAGGGTCACCCAATGACTGCTAGAGAAAGGCACCGACCCCAGTCAGGAAAAAGGGGCTCGGGTGATGGCTGTTTGTTGTATTTTGGTTTTCAGTCATGAGCCTTGCGTGTTTGTTACAGGTGGGTTACTGTCAGGGCCTGTCCTTCATCGCTGGAGTTCTGCTTTTACACATGGGGGAAGAGGATGCCTTCAATATGCTCAAATTTCTGATGTTTGATGCGGGGCTCCGTAAGCAGTACAGGCCTGACATGATCATCTTACAGGTACCAGTGTGACAGAGCTTTGAGTTGGAGCACTGTAGACTGGTTAGATGATTCCACTGATCCTTTTATTTGGACATTTTTATGTTTTAATCAATAGTGTTAGGATTACAGAGGCTCAAGCTATGACTTTAAGTTGATCATTATTTGATTAATACAATAAGACTTGAGGTGTTTATTTGTTTAACATCAGGTCTTAAATGTTACAATCATACATCGCTTTTGTGTCACAAGAATTTTTAACATGTTCAGATAGTTTGTGCCACAATTTTTCACTTGGGGCAATCACAGTCCTCATGAGCGTCTATTTAATTTGTGAATTCAGTTCAAATGTGTCATAGATAGGTGTCTGTGTGCTTTGAACATAAGTTTTTACATATTCTCACATTTTTTGTGGTTTTAAGTGTTGAAAGTTTAATTTTTGTACATAAAATGTTTACAGGGTCCATATCATGTTATTTTAAACCTTTGACAGCACAGTTGAAATGTCGTCGTCGTCGTCGTCGTCGTCGTCGTCGTCGTCTTCCTCCGCTTATCCGGGTCCGGGTCGCGGGGGCAGCATCCCAACTAGGGAGCTCCAGGCCGTCCTCTCCCCGGCCTTGTCCACCAGCTCCTCCGGCAGGACCCCAAGGCGTTCCCGGACCAGATTGGAGATGTAACTTCTCCAACGTGTCCTGGGTCGACCCGGGGGCCTTCTGCCGGCAGGACATGCCCGAAACACCTCCCCGGGGAGGCGTCCAGGAGGCATCCTGACCAGATGCCCAAACCACCTCAACTGGCTCCTTTCGATCCGGAGGAGCAGCGGTTCTACTCCGAGTCCCTCCCGAATGTCCGAGCTCCTCACCCTATCTCTAAGGCTGAGCCCGGCCACCCTACGGAGGAAACTCATTTCGGCCGCTTGTATCCGCGATCTCGTTCTTTCGGTCATTACCCAAAGCTCATGACCATAGGTGAGGATTGGGACGTAGATCGACCGGTAAATCGAGAGCCTGGCTTTCTGGCTCAGCTCCCTCTTCCCCACGACAGATCGGCTCAGCGTCCGCATCACTGCAGACGCCGAACCAATCCGCCTGTCGATCTCCCGATCCCTCCTACCCTCACTCGTGAACAAGACCCCGAGATACTTAAACTCCTCCACTTGAGGTAGGACCTCTCCCCCGACCCGGAGGTGGCAAGCCACCCTTTTCCGGTCGAGAACCATCCAATCCAGTTGAAATGTCATTTATCTTAAGAGTCATCACCTGAAATGTTCACTCTTCCACTTGAAAAATGTATCCAATGATTTTTCACTAACAATGGATATATTTTTTTCCCTCTTGGCTTCTTCAACGTTTACCCCACAAGCACCCACACTCCAAAACTAGATCTTGAGTTCTGGCCTTAATGCCGTTACAATGACAGGATGCACAGAACCATATATGGACAGCGCAGTGCAACGCCGCTATAGGGAGCCTAAGTCACTTCTGCACCATGGGTCCCCGGAAGAACGAAAAAATGAATGCAACTCAACAGGGCTAAAAACACTATTTTCTAATCCCCTTTGCCTTACGCCCTGGATCACACACATGTTGTACTGCAATTTAAAAGAAAAGTTATGATAGGTGTTTCGACCATGCCAGTCACGTACTTTGGTATTTATTAGCTTGTAAAAGTTCGTAATTATCATGACTACAAACTAGAAATCTGCACGTTGCATATGTGACGACACCACATGATCTCCTCTCCCCAAAGTAGCTGCTACTTACCACATGACCAGATTTATGGTGGCTCTATTTGAAGTTTGCTGAACTTACAGCCATTTTCCCTCAGTTTTCTCCGTGTCTGGTTCGATGACGTCACTTTCATGAAGCGCATTTGTAGTTCTGGACTTATTTCACACAAAACCCCTTGAAAATAAGCACGTTCTTGGTATCAAAATGTGTCTTTGAAATTCGCTGACATCAGATGTGAAATCCACGACACAAAACAAGCGGAATTAGAAAATAGCGTTTTTAGCCCCATTGACTTGCATTCATTTTTTCGTTCTTCCAGGGACCCGTGATGCGGAAGTGATTTAGGCTCCCTATAGCCCGCACTGCTTCGCTTCCAGAAATGACTTTGTTTCAACTTTCAATTTGGAACTAGTTGTCTTTGAAAATATAGTAATAAATAGTTTGGATTTTAAATGATCAAACTTTTATCGGACTAATGTCGTATCAGCTGTCATCAAGCATCCAAATGTTTGCTGGGCTTTAACACCGTTTTTGGTGATAGCAATATTTTCAGTTAAATAGTGTCAAAGGGATAGTTCAACTAGCGTGACACCTGACTTACACATGGAGGACGCAGGTTCGAATCCAGGCCCGCATATCAGATAGTTTTATTTTTTTTACAGTAATGATATATTTTATAAGATGGCCAAATTTTTATTTTTAAACACCCAAATGAGACGCACCGAAAGACATTGAATTCACAGCCAGAAAAGACGTCGGTTCAACTTTCATTTTGGGACTATTTTTCAACCATGATGGGACGCATCATTTGGAATCGTAGTACCGTCAAGGAAGGTCCCATCTTTCTTGCCTCTGATTATTATAGTGCTAAGTACACAGTTTCTTTACAAAACTCCCCAAAACAGCTTTCTGTTGGTGGCGGTGGTAGGAGAACAGTCTGTACTTAGCAAGGGAAGATGCCGGTTTTCTGCTAAATCAACTAGTTAATCATATTAGAGCCCTTCTAGCCAATCAGAGGCAAGAAACACAGCATCTTCCTTGGGCATCCTACTATTCCAAATGTTTGGCACAGCCGAAATATTGCTTGTACTCTCTGGAGAAAACATATCTTTTACAAAAAAAGATCAGAAAAGCTCATTTAAAAAAAAATTCCGATACCAATAATGTTTATGGCCTAAATGACCATTATATGGTGTAGATATACATGGTAGTAACAGGTGATGATGCCTTTAAGTTGTTATTATTTTTTTTGTTCTTTTTTGTCAGTCTGAATTTATACCCGGAAATAAAATGGTTTGTTTCAGTGAAACTCCGCCCACTCAGACAAAATGTGCCTACAACAGCTTCTTAGGCGAGTGGGTTACTGTATTGTCTATGGCCAGTGGTTAATGTGTTTATGTTTATGTATTTAGCAGACGCTTTTGTCCAAAGCGACTTACAAGTGACGCGTCTGCCTGCTGTTTCATTTAGGCCATGTGCTGACGTGGGTTTGAATCCCGATGGTGTCAGCAGTGATTTATTCAGCCAGCTGAAGCAGATTTTATGTTTTTATATTTTTGTTTTATTGATTATTTTCTGCAAAATATTTTGGGTCTCTAAAGATCCTTGAATTTGGTCGATTCATGCTTATCCACTTGGCCTGACGGGGGGCTAAGCAAGGCCTGGCGGCCCGCCAGACTTACCGGGCGCTGGGGGAAACCCTTACGAAAGAACACAAGTTACAGCAGCATCCATTTGACGCTCTTGAAGGTTTACTGGCTTAATTGTGAGTTGAAAGCAGTAGTTAGATTTTGTTGGAAGGTACAGTTAGGCGATTTGTATAATTTTTCCCACCGCCAATTGTCGGTCCAATAAATAATGATGGGTGATTTATTCGTGCGTGTGACTCTTTGAATGATGCACTGACTGCTTTGTGAATACAGTAGAAGTACAAACTCTGGCTTTTTTTATGGAAGCGCAGCACAAATGTTTGCTGGAAGAGAAGGTTTGATTTTTGATTTTGTTTCATTTTATATTTGGTTTGGTAGAGTGACATGTATGGCTTGTATTAAACGCTGTTAAGCCTTGTCTTTGTTTCCCTGCGGTGCCCATTATTGTGGTATTTTATTGAAGCAAAATGTATTTTTCATGAACATAGACTACTGGGTTTCTTTCTTTTGTGACTTTGAGACGTTAGTCGATCGCTGCTGCGTTTGGACGCACTCTGAGGAGGGAGCATTAGCTCGCAGCAGAGGTCACATGATCCATTTATCCCTGTCACTTAAGTTTTTAAAATGTTAATCATTCCATTCATTTTTAATATTTAGTCCGAACAAGCTATTCTGAGTGCCCCATATAAACAATGCAAATAAACATTTCATTTAAATTACAAACATTTCGACTGCTGTGGTCCAAATGCACGTCCCGTCTGCTCTGCATAAACCTGAACTGGTCATCTGCCGCTTTTATGTAATTAAATGTCTCGAGGGAGCTTGCTGAAGAGGTTATGAGGTTCTGGACTTTTGCCTCCGACAAACTCGTGGATATTTGAATGTCGTTCTGGATGATTCCACACTCCGCTGACACACTTGAAGCGGGTGCTGAATAACGAGCACTACTTAAGCCGAAGTTTTAAAATCAGAAAACATCTCTCTTCCACGATGTTCTCTGTGCCTGAAGTGTAAAATATTTGTCATTAACAAACTTATGCATGCCCAAACAAACAAGCAAATAAACAAATTGCCTCTTGTAAAAACAGTTGTAACAGCTAAGCCCATCGGCCAACCCTATTGGAAGACATACATATCATGTGGCTGCAGATGCTGCATGTGGAGGAGTCATGATGACTGTGTAACCAATTATCCTGAAAAGGCACATGAACATTGTCCATCTGTGTGGTTTCCTCCGGTCAGATCCAGATGTACCAGCTGTCGCGGCTGCTTCATGACTACCACAGGGATCTGCACAGCCACCTGGAGCAGCAGGAGATCGGGCCCAGTCTGTACGCTACCCCCTGGTTCCTCACACTTTTTGCTTCACACTTCCCCCTCGGCTTTGTTGCTCGAGTTTTTGGTAAGACCTGAGAACTCTTGATGAACGTGCTGTTGTCTAGTCTGCTGATTCACATTTAGTACTAAAAGTGTTGCAGCAAGGCGACATCCACAGAACCATAACTGTTTGTAAGACACAGAAAATAGTTATCCTAAAGGACCAACACCGGTTTGGCCTGGTTCACAAGACAAGATTTGATAATATGCTGGAAAACCCCAACGAGACCCACATGTGGTGATAATCGGAATCAGAACTTTATTCATCCCAAAGGAAACTGTGTGTGTAGACAAATAGTTTCTCCAGACAATAGAAAAGGTAAGGAAACAATAACAATATTAAATGACAATGATCTAAGATAAGAAGTCCCACTAACCAACTATCAATGCAAGAGTTACAATACCATTAAAGTGATCTGAAATATCATGCACCATTTACAGTGAGGTAATAGTGCATAAAACCAGACTGTAGTATTGAACAAACATACACGGACATGGAGGAGTTTTGAGCTCTGTACAAGAGAACGGACTCGAGAGAGAAATAAGAACAATAATTTGCTTTACTTTATTTATACTGTACCACTTTATTTAGTTTCATGAACCAAAGTAACTTAAATTCTTGTTAAATTCAGTTTAAAGAAAATTGGGAGGAAGCTTTTGTTTACCTTTTAGGTTAGATTGTTTTTCTTGTTTGCTTTATTTATCTGCTCCTCACTAGAGACACATAAGGAGATGATAAAAGTCAAAATGTCCCCAAAGGATAGGTAGTGGAAGGGTTCGTTAGCTGGCTAGTGAAGGAGAACCATCAGCTGGGTAGCTATCATTAAATCCTAATTCGGGTCTCATCTTTTCTCACCCCTGACCCATTTTCATGTCTGCAATGGGCACTGCCAGGTAGCTGTAATCCTCCACTATGTCCAACTATAACCCCATAGATGGAAACCAGGGTCACTGGTGATCTTGACCTCCTGAAGTCAACATTGGGCTCCTTAGTCTTCTTCTGCAGATGGTTCTGCTCACACCATGTTACCAAGGAGTCCACCGTTGCTCGATACTCCCATCTCCTCATCCGCAGTAGTAAAGCCAACTACTGCTGAGTCATCAGAAAACCTCTGAAGGGGGCAGTTTTCACTACAGTCGTGGAAGTCGGTAAACAGGATAAAGAGGAAATGGGAGAGAGCAGTCCCTTGTGTCAGATGCACAGTTCTGGAAGCACACGTACTCTGGTCTCCCTGTGAGATAATCCACAATCCAGGACATAAGTGACCCATCCACCCCAACTTCTCACCCAGTAGGGTCGGTCTGATTCTGTTAAATGTGCTGGAAAAGTAAAAAAAGACAAACAAGACCCTTACATAGCCCGCAGGCTTATTGAGGTGAGCGTAGGCATGATTTAAATTAAATTGAAAAAAGAAATCAAATATACCAGTTTGGGCCCTACACGGTGTGGTTTGCAGCCAAACTTTTCTTGCAGAACTTCTCAAGGTCAATTGTAAATTCAGGGTAAACAAACATAGTTAATGAGGAGTGTGCAGCACGCTTACAGCCCGTCACTCCCAAGAAGCCCTCGACTTATGCACCTACCTCACCTACACCCATCATTGTTCATGTCCGCTCATATTCTCTGGTAATTTCTGTCTGGGCTCTCCCTCACCCCCAAATTCCACTACCTCCGCTCCGACACGAACGCCGGAGCAAAATCGGTCCCGTTCTAGTCAATCAGAGCAATTCCACTACTGCGGCCGTGCTCCGGCAGTGCGGCGCCGTGCGCCGCCCTCTGTTCCGGCAAAAATAGGATCGATCCTATTTTTGCCGGACGCTGGAGCACCTCCGCAGTAAATGGACAGAAATCACAACTGCCCAACAGGAAAAGGAGCAAGCACAACTTCCGTTTTTCACAATAAATCGATAAACAAAAGGCGTTTTTTGTTTCATATGCACAGGTTTAACAACTTACTGTCAATGGCGGCTGAAGTTTAAATGCACAAAAATAAGCCATAAATACAGTTTCTTCTATCAAAGTAGTCACACTTTGTTGATCCAAACACTGCTGATCTCTCAACACAAATGATGGCAGATTAAACAGTTCATGCCGATGCTTCTCCCACACAACGGGTGTTTGGGTCTAACTTCCGCGTTTATTGCTCGGACTGTATCGCAAGATCTCGAAAATCCCGCGCATGCTTGTTTGCCCACCTCAGGTCTCCGCACCGGAGCGGAGCCGTTGTAGAGCGGGTAACAGTAAAAATTGAGTTCGGAAGCGAGCGGCTGCGGAAGGCGGGGGCGGAGCGGAGCGGAGTGGAGGTAGTGGAATTTGGGGGTTAGAGATAGGGTGAGAAGCTTGGTCATCTGGGAGGGGCTCAGAGTAGATCCGCTGCTACTCCTAATCTAGAGGAGCCAGTTGAGGTGGCTCAAGAACTTGATTAGGATGCCTCCTGGTGAGGTTTCCAGGCACATCCAACCGGGAGAAGACCTAAAGGAAGACCCAGGACACACTGGAGGGACTGTTTCTCAGCTGGCCAAGGAACACCTTAGGAATCCCTCGGAGGAACTGGCCCAAGTGAGGAAAGTCTGGGCCTCTCTGCTTAGGCTGTTGCCCCCGCGACCCGACTCCAGATAAGCGGAAGAGGATGGATGGATGGAAGAAACAGATCCAGGATGTTCCTTATTTTTTATTTATGCATCCAACCATCCATCCATCCATCCATCAGATTCTGCTTCTCCAGAGTTGGGTCGCGAGGGCAGCAGGCTAACCAGAGAGGCCCAGACTTGTCATGCCTTGTTTCATGCCACACGGTGGCATTTGAATAGTTTAGATTAGTGTAAAGTTTCCTGTTTGTAGTTCCTCCTGTTAGGTGTCCATTTATTTCAGTTATTTGGTTTCATAATATAGACAAACATTTAGTCATTTATATTTTAGTATTCGAGTAATTAGGTAAATTAAGTAAGTTTTATTAAGATGATCCAATTTTTCTATCATATTTTTATGATAAAGTAATGCAATAGTTTCTATTCCTGGTAATCAGTTACTTTTGTAATCTTGTAACTCAGTCACAAATGTTGTAAAAAAAATTTTTTTACAAAATAATTAACAACTGTAACTAATTACATTTTTAAAGTAACATTCCCAACACAGCTCTTAACATACCACAAACGCCAGGGTTATCAGATAAGATTATCTTTAGAGCCGTTACAGTAATCAAGACATCCTTAAGATTGTCAGAAAAGGAGAAATGGGTCAAAAAGCTGCATGATTCAGGGGTGGACATTAACTTCAAAACCAACCGGCCAGCCGGGCCGGTAACTCTGAATATTTACCGGCCCCGCCAAGAATCTACCGGCCCCGCTGGTCAGCTGCCAAAACGAGTCAAAATAACAACTGAACCGTTTTAAATGTAATAAACCTTTATTTTGTACACATTCACAAACATAATAACGTATTCAAGTTTGAATTTGTTTGTTCCCTCAACAAAACACGATTTTGTCGTCGCATACTTCCGGCATACAACGCAGTACATCACCAACTCCGCTTTGCTGTATTCGAGCCATTGGCTGTGTTCGAGATGAGCCAGTTCTGTGCAGATTAGACCAGCAGTGATCGGCGAGCAGTGCATGCCGGTTTTGTGTCCGACTTGACGCTGACTTGCTCTGACGTCATGCATACGTAGGCAACGATAACCTCGTGAGATCAAGGCGGCCGCAGATTTTGGAGCCAGGCGCTGCAGCTGCTCTCCACCGGCTGCAAAACCTAGGGGATGACGGGAAACGCCTGGCCCTCACCTGATCTAAGATCTGATTGGTTCATATTTTGATCCAAACATCCGGTGGTAGAACATGAAACGTTAGTTGGTCACATGTGTTCTGTAAATCATGTTACGTTGATGATGACAACTATATAGGCCATAAAGAGAAATGTGTTTTGTTTTCTTTTGTCACGTTTTCTATGAGCACACTGAACAGCTGATAACCTTTACTTATTATTACAGTCATGTCTTCATATACAATATATGATATCCACAAGCACGTGAGGATGTGTTTCTGCTGCTAACAGGCACCAGAATTAAAATTGAAAATTGAACAAGTGTGAATGCTAACGCGATATCTTCATCCATCGTCACCCCCGAGCTACACATGTAGGGAAATCCAAGAGATTCAACTGGCAGAAACAACTGGTTCACACCATAGTCTCCCCCTCTCTCCTCTCCCCCTCTCTCCCCCTCTCTCCCCCTCTCTCCCACACACACACACACACACACACACACACACACACACACACACACACACACACACACACACACGTAGAGGAAAATAGCTGAGGAAATTGAGGACACCGGGTAGTTAAAAGAAAAACCCACAGCGGAGCCGAGGCGCGCCTCGAATGGGGCGCGTCTGATCTGAACTGAGGAGCAGCGAGCAGCGGCCGGACTTCGTGAGCGATGCGCTTCGGGCGCTTCCGCGGCCGTTGTGTCCCCGGCGAAACGCCGGCTTTCAGCCACTCCCCCTGCTGCTTCCGTCTGTTTTCCAGGCGATGCGCTGCTCAACTCGAACACGGCCATTCTCTGCACCTCCCGTCTTCTTTAAACCGCCACGAATCATTCCACCTACGCACACGCTTCTCTGCTTCATACCGTTTCGAACTGTCTCGCTTCTCCTCACCAGTTTTAAAGCGTTTTGCTGGAGATTTCATCAAGAAATCCAATCCCTGTGGCGGCGGAATCTCCCTGCGTGCTTGTGTGTTTCTAGCGTGGTTCCACTTCGTCTTTAATAGTGAACTTATAGTTCACGTGACTATAACTAATCGTGCAGTACGTGCACGAATCGTACAAGTGCAGTAGGTGGCTAGAGGTGCGCAGGTTCACGTGCGCGAAACGAAAACGGCAGCTTCCTACAGGGCGGGGCCATGATGTAGGTGAAAGCCGGTGTGTAAATGACAAATAAGGCTTGGGCGCCACCCGGGCGGTAAGTCGTGATGTATTTACCGCCCGACGAGAAAATTTAGCGCCATTGGCGCTCGGGCGCTTTAACGGTCCACCCCTGTGATTACTTAGTCGTGTGAACCAGGCACTAGACGTAGGAGATCTTTAAATACCAAATGCTTTTCTCAAGACTGAAGTCACCTTTTCTTCTGATTATAAACTTGAGTGAGTCGAGGAGGCCCAGTTTATTAGATGACATTTCATCATCTGAGTAAATATAATTACACCCACTGTTTTTTCTTTTGTCTCATCTTTTCTGATCTTCATTTCATCCTGAATTTTGCCTCCATGCCTAATATTTCATCCTGTGCTCTGTAACTGAACCAGACTCTCTGGCTCCTTGTGCTCATCTGAGCGTAACAGTCTGTGTGTTTATGCGTGCTTCGGTATGAGGGCATCTTCTGTTCACTTATCACGCGTTTGATTGCAAAGGTGTGGCTTCACGCCCACACTCCCCATTTTCTTTTTCTCGTATGTGACCTCATGCAATGTTGCCTAACCCATACCACGCCCTGATGTATTCAAAGAGTGTCTCTCAGACGCACACCTACTCTGATGTTTGCTGAAGCGTTTGTTTTATTGACGTCAGTTTATCCTTCTGGTATAAAAGCCTTTTAAGTTATTAATAAAACAGAAGCTGTGCTGTCAGCACCTGGCGTTTTTGTCTTCACATAAGCTGCTCTAATCTTCTGTCATCTCTTTTTGTCTGTTGGGTTTTTTTTCATTAATGTCTTACGTATGTTATTCCTTCTTGTCAGACATGTTGTTTCTACAGGGTTCAGAGGTCATCTTTAAAGTAGCTTTGAGCCTTCTAGGCAGCCACAAGCCTCTGATCCTGCAGCATGACAGCTTGGAGTCCATAGTGGACTTCATCAAGACCACGCTGCCCAACCTGGGCCTGGTGCAGATGGAGAAGACCATCAACCAGGTAATGATGACCTCCTCCCGCCCTGAAAATTATGCTTGAATGAAAGCAAAGCCTCCAGAAGAAAATAATTTCCTGTCCTGTAATGGAATTCCCCTTAAGTGCTGTCATCACTACAGGGCGTGCTTTATCTTTGTGTTTTTACGTCTCCCGTGAACAGATCCAACGATTCACAGAAGCTTCACAAGTTTATGTTCATTTTCATTTGTAACATTTTTATCCCACACAGTCCTCCGGTAGGCCGCAGCTCTCCAGCGTAACAGTGTAAAGGTCAGGTGTTGAGCTGGTGAAAGGTTGATGAGAATCAGGTTCAAAGCAACTGCAGCAGGGGTCAAAGGTGAAGGTCTGTCAGGGAAAAAATCAGTCAAGGTTTATGGAGCTTGATTTAGAGGAACTACGTTTAAATTTACAGCTGTGACCGTGACGACATGGGCAGGGCAGTAAAAATACAACACTGGGCTTGGTTCAAGATTATCCTGAGCCTTTTTCTGATAATCTGACCCAGATTAAGAACTCACTGAAACATGTAATCCAGGAGTCAATAAGAATTTCAATCATGGTCCAGGTTGTTTCTATTCATTGTGCGGCTAACCTTGAATGCATATGTTTACCTGATAATTGTCTAATGCCTTATTTATAAAGCTTGTTTACACACAAAACAGGGTCTGAAAACTGTGTAAGGGAATTTCCACACAAACTTTGTTATTTTTAAAGAAAAACTTGACAGAAAAATGTCTGCAACTTGGGGCAAACTGGACCTGGCTAAGCAAATTTAGGCGATGGTGAAATGGTTAATTCAGGACACATTTTCAGACTTTTAGAATTTTGGGCACACACAACCAACAGTCACTCTCCCCTGATCTCTGATCTGAGAATAAAAATTACATTTAATGAAATTGTCCGTTCTAAGAATGAATTTTCAGAGAAAGTAGGTCATTCGTCACTATCTTTGTTGTAGCGCGTGGAGACGGCATGCCAAAAACTGCTCAGATTCAGAAAGCACCACCCACAGCCAGAATGACTACTGTTGTTTTATATCTTTTGAGCTTAAAGTTTGTCAAATTAAACAAAATTACCACTAACCACGTCTGTCAATGACGCTAGCAGATTTACCTCCTTTCAGTCTTTATAGATGTTGCCCGAGGGCTCGTCATGGTATTTTTTTGGGGGGGAGGGGGGAGAGTTTAACATAAATAACAACACTATTAAACCCTGTTAAAACCCCAATATTAGCAACATAAATGCCTTTTTATGGCTAGAAATGGCCACCAGTATTCTACAGCCTTATTCATTTGAAAGATATCCCAATTTATTGATCTGGGTATCGGAAGATTTAAGGATGCTGGAGTACAACCATGAGATGAGAGAATTTCATACTATTGTGATTTCTGCAACATTAAAGCAGAGTCCAACATTTTGCCCTTAGTAGTGGTTTATTAAGGTACTCAAGCAAACAGCTGAGATGAAGGTGCATTTACCTGCAGCTTTCTAAACATTTCATCACAACCAACTCATCAGAACAGCGGCACTTATGAACTCCTAACAGTAACCTCTTAAGAATGGTGACTGAATATTTTTAGATATTATCATCTTATGTGTTTTGTGAATTAGTCTCATAGTAATTCATAATTACAATGTCTAAAAATGTTCTGATCATTTTTGTTAGGCATTATTTAAAAGTTTTTTTTTGACCAGTGACTTTCTAGACTACATGGTAGAAAATGGTTTGCATTTTACAAAAATTGCATGATTTTGTTTTAAAGTGACAATGTTTACTTTTTACCATTAATCTTTGGAAAAATCCATTGGAATGTTGTAGTAAATGACAAAAGATGCCCAAGTTGTTGAAAAATATTGGCAGTTTCATAACATATAACCATAAAAATCTGTTCTAAAATACCTGGAGAGGGTCTAACGCCAGGAACACACCAGACGCGGAAGTGCCGTGGAATGAGGAGCACTTCTAATCGGTACTCTTGTTAACCTACGGTCTCGGTCACATCAGCCGCAAAGTGTCACGAAGCCTCACACCGTGCAGCGATAATTTAGACATAAGCTCAATTTTTTTGTGATCTGCGTCAATTCTGGCAGGAAGTCGGACCAAAGCAGAAGAGGCAGGCCGGTACATTTAACTAAAAAGAAAATTTTCTAAATAAAACACCGCGATTGATAAATGTGATTATTTTTGTATATTTAAACAGACAACCACACACACACACACACCTGCTGAGAAACATAGCGTTTCCACAATTTAATGCAGTTTTTACAGCAAAAGATATATTTAATAAATGTGAATACAAATACGTTTAATTCTAAGGTAAATATACCATAGCATTGCACACTACCACAAACACTAGTCATTTACTTAGCCGTTTAGAAAAATAAATGGTGTACAAAACAGCAGCAGGATCAGCACACTGTAACCCCGAATAAGTTCACTGAACTCTAAATTTATGAGGAAACTGATTACCTAATAATTTTTAAGTTCACTTATCTAAAAACTATTAAGTTAACCATAACTTAAAAAATTATGATGTGCATCATGTTTTTGAAAACATACTTGAGTAAAAGTACAGACTTTAAAAGTGACTTTTAAAAAGTAAAAATACACAAAAAAGCTACTCAGTTACATTAACGCAAGTAAATGTAATTTGTTACTTTCCACCTCTGCAGTCCAGGGCGATACCAGCTTTTATGACTGAAGCTACATAAATGTGGAGGAATTATTTAAACCAAGGAGTTGCCTGCTCAACACACTTGGTTTTAATTAGTGACTTATCAGGCTTCTGAGGGGCCAGATGACCTGCAGACCTGGTAATCCAATCATCGAGTCAGGTGTTTTAGAGCAGGTAAACTAAAACTCTGATCTGTTTGTGACTCACCAGACATCAGTAACACAGTCGGGCAGGAGCACAAGTGCTGATCTCCTGAAACCTCACAGGTGCACCACCACAGCCTGGCCGGTGTGGAAGCAGAGAGATGTCACGCCACATTCAGAGCAGGAAAAAGGAATCAGCGTCCATGTGTTGCTTAACTAGTGCTGCTCAGCATAGCTCTTACAGAACATGTTAAAAGTCGTCATCGTTTCTCCTGGCCAACTGGTGTAATGATGGACAACAGTGGGTTTTATGTGTTCAGTGAAGCTAAAAGGATCCACTAAACAGTTTGTTCAGCTCCCAAAACAAGGAATGTCACCAGAATCTCCCCGCTGGCTCTGAACCACCAGTTACCGTCAACACCATAGATTATATATTTACTCAAGATCAGTGACCGCATGACCTCAGCTTACGTCATTCCTGTGTGTGTGTGTGTGTGTGTGTGTGTGTGTGTGTGTGTGTGTGTGTGTGTGTGTGTGTAACTTGATACACTTGAGAAGCTAATAAACCTCTTGAATGGAGCATCGGTTTTGAGTGACGAAGGCCAACAGGAGGACATACCCGGTCCTTTTGGGCGTGTCCACTGAGTCCTTCAGTTTCCTTTACAACAGCAAGTCTCAGTCAGGGTCACGGGGAGATTTAGATCCGCAGAAGCGACCAGTTTGCCTTTTTGGAATTTCTAGATGTTTATTTTTAATAAAGTTGTAATTGACATGACAAACACACTGGTTTATTACTGCTAGGTTGCAAACAGAATTAAGAGCCGCCAGACATGAACTATCTGTAAGTGTTCAGGTGTTTTGGGAAATGAGCTGAAACAGGCCGTTCTGATCTAGAAATATATGGACCTGTTCCTGTCAGAGGTGGTGTTTCCTCCTGGTTTAGATGCACCTCAGAATTGGGACTTATATATTTAAGGAAAAGAACAGTTTGTAAATTTAATGCTAAGTAGAAAGTCTTTGTATCATGTATTGGAAAAGTAAAGTAAAATTCTCAAAGAGCTGTAAAATCATTGCATATTAAACACTTAAAGGAACATTATGGAAGTGTGACAGCCAAAACATGTATAGAAATAATAAATGTCTTCTTCATACATTCTCCTGCAATGCCCTGGTCCTGTAGAATGAGCCCTGGCATTTTTACTGTGATTGCCTCTTTTTCTGTAAAATCACAGAAAAAGAGAGATGCTCGGGTCGAGCAGGCTACTTCATGCGCGTTCACGCTCAGGCATCGCCCTCCGAACCGTTCTTTGAACATTGTTTCAGCTGCGATCAAGGATATAAATGTTACAGATACAGAAGACACTACTGGCGATTTAGCTCGCCTTGTAAGATTTCGGGCTCTCGTGCAGAAGACCCGGGTTTGATTCTGGATGTGAACATGGTTGTTTTAGTTTCTTTTTTACATTAATGGTATATTTTTTTTTACAGTAAGATGCCCAAATGTTTATTTGAGACTCGCCGAACGGCATTGAATTCACAGATAAAAAAGATGTGGGTTCAACTTTCATTTTGGAACAATTTTTCGAGCAAGGGAAGGGAATGATCTGAGCATGCAGGAGGACTGACCCATCATAAACCTTTGTCAGCTGTGCTGAAGAGAAAGGTACAGAACCAAATTATGCGCGTTCTCCTGTCCCCCGGGCCACACACACACACACACACCGGACTGTCTCAGCTGTTATTTTCGTTAAGGAGTGTGCACGTACAGCATGCGCGCCTCGTGCACGAGCCTCCTATTGAAGCTGCCGTTATGCTTTTGGCCTGAAGGGGCAATCGCGAGCATAAAAATTCAAAACTCCGTAAAGTCCCTTTAAGTTTTAGGATTTTATTCAGATCATCATTGGGAATGTGTCGTTATGAGGTAAAAACCAACCCAGTGTCAGGTCTTAGTGGGATCTGTTCCCCCTCTTGATGGATCCAAACATTCCTGAAAACAAATCTCTGAGAGCAGAGTATCATGAACGTGTTCATTTAGTTTGTGTGTGATTTCTTTAGTAATTATTACAAGAAAAATACTTTTTTTAACCCAGCAAAAAGACCGTTTCCATCTGACGATAATAATAAGCATGTTTCCATTGTTGGAGGGGGAAATTGACTAACGGATATGACAGCCCGGTCCCATCAGCTGTTGTCTCCATACAAATTCAGCTCTCACAAGACTTTGCACAGACGTTAAGTGATGTCGCTGATCTGCACCAAAAAGCCTCTTATTGTAGCAAAAACTTTTGTTCTGCTGAAATACAACCATTAATCCCAGATGGGGGAAGAGAGCAGCTGTGTGATGTAAAATGTGGTGTTCAATGACCAGAATAAGCTCAGGTTTTTGCGGGTCTATTTGAAACAACTAAGCTCAGTGAACTACCCATTCCTCAGAGTTGGGAGTTCGGTAACGGCTATTTTAAATCACCACTATCGGTGCTTATTTGCTAATGCTTCCATTCTGCTTCACAAGCAACTCTTATTTTACTAACGCCGGTTGTCTAGGATGCCGTCTGCTGATGCCATTTCCTGCTGAGTTAAAACCATTCAGCATGAGTTAACCAGAGGTTTCGCTCAGCCGGGCTATATAAGAACCTGCTCATGTTCAGGTCCCCCGAAGGTTCCTGAAAACGGCCCGTGTGGCCGGCCCGGTGAGTGGAGACATGCTGGGAACCTCTGGTAAAATCACCCTGAAATTCCAGCAGCAGAAACACCGTTTCTGTTGTTGTAGATTTGTTATAGTTTTAAATCAAAAAATGAATGGCTACTGCCCTTTTACAAGTTTCCATCTTATACCAATTTTTATTTTGAATTAAACTATTTACAAATCCTAACCTATAAATAATATTTTCTTAGTGTCCTGCACTATTTAGATCTTCTCTCTGTTCTTCAGGTTTGTGAAATGGACGTCTCCAAGCAGCTGCAGGCCTATGAGGTGGAGTACCACGTGCTGCAGGATGAACTTCTGGACACGCCACCGACCCTCAACCAGCAACAGAGAGCTGCACAGCTGGAGAGGACCAATCAGAGTCTCCGACAGCAGAACCTGGACCTGCTGGAGGAGCTGCAGGTGCACAAACACTGAAAGCAGTCGTTCTAGTTTAAAGTACAGGAGAGTGTGTGTTCCTAAGTCTACCTTTCTCTCTCTCCTTAGGTCTCACAAGCACAAGTCTGCAGCCTGGAGAGTCGGGTGGAGGCTTTGGCCAAGTCGGAGGGCCGGCTGAAGGAGCAGGTTTCTTCTCTGGAGGAGGAGAAGCTAAAGCTGGTGGGCACCATCACACAACTGAAGAACCTCCTCACCAGCATGGGACTAAGCAGCAGCCTGGATGGACAGACGGTCACCTAACTGAGAGGCGTGGACAGCAGGACAGTGGACTCATCTGTTCAGGATTATGTCCTGAAGGAGGTCGTTGTGCTGGGACTTTGAGGATGTTTAATAACTTTCACCAAACAAAAATTTTGTTTGTTATTTTTATGAGTTTGTCGTTGGACCCAAAACAAAGAGAAGCAAAGAATTCCAGCTAAACGTTCAGGGAGAGAGAGCGAACCAGAATTTTGCACCCATTTTTCTTAGCTTAAAGTTATGATTTAACAAACAATTTCTACGGTAACAGCAATCAGGATTAAACCTGTGTGTAAAAACATGGGTTTGTTTATGTGAGATGCAACAAGACTAGAACGGCCAAAGATCGTACTCGAGCTTTTAGCTGAGAGGACAAAGAGTCCACTACCGTGTCGTTACACAAGGATGTCCCCAAAGAGACGAGTCGGAACAAACGTGTCGTAGATTAACGGACTGCTCACAAAGTAATCATCATTATGGTTCTGTTTATTATTGTTGTTTATTAAGTTTGAATGTAACTTTAGCTACATGAAGCTGGGTCTCGTACTGGTGCTGATAATGAGAGGTTGAGTTGGGGGGGGGGGGGGGGGGGGGCGTTATTGTCATTCTTCCTCTACGTTTAGTTTCCTGACTGTAAATTTAACTTCATTTAGTTCCAGCGGTTCACAGGAAGAGTAATACAATATATCCAGTCCATTTCACATCCTGTTTTTCACCTTTGAATGCACATCGATTTCTCCGTGGGGGGGGGGGGGGAAACAGTAGCCCCCCCCCCGTTTCAGCCACAGGAAGCAAAGATCAGCCTCTTCTGATTACAGTTCAAGTGACTCAGGTGTGAAACCTGTGCTGTTGAGACAATCTGTCACCTTTAAACCCCTTTACTGAATCCAACACTGTGTGTGTGTGTGTGTGTGTGTGTGTGTGTGTGTGTGTGTGTGTGTGTGTGTGTGTTCATGTGTGTGTATGGTCAACACTGTAGAGATACTTTGCTTTTACTCGTCTACTTTTGCACATGTTTTTGTTTTATTGATTTGTTCGCCTGTACTTAAAAATATAACTCCTATTCTTTCAGCACATCTGGAGTCAGTGTTCCTCTTATGTTCTCCTGTCTGAGTGTGTGTGTGTGTGCCGTGTGAACTTGTGTATCAGGTGTGACATGAAAATTGTCTCCTGTCTAAACACGTCAGTCACTTTGAGGGTTATGGGCTTGATGGAGGGTTTCAGCCTATGGAAACACACATGCTTCATTGTTTTCAGGAACTCTTAATTGAGGCAGAGGAAAGCACGTGCTCAGACAAGTGGTGACTTGGTTTGCATGTCCTGTACATGTTTACATAACAGAAAAGGTGTCACAATCTGAACCAGATGAAGACAAGCCTCAGAGTTTACCACAACGGACACAAAAATCAGTTTGTGTGCCTCAAACTGACCTGAACTCTTATTTCTTCATGGTTTCCTTCCAGGATCCAGGCTTCCTGATCATTCTATTTATAGTTACTAAATCTTTCAGGGGGTTTCCACTCAAATGCATGAACATTTTTGAAGTACTATTTGTTCAGTCAATGAAAAATTCTAAAACTCAAAGAACAAACAAGTTTTGGGTTTGTCACTAAAGTTAAAATTCTCACTTATTTGGCTCAAATCAGTGAAAATAATCAAACGCACGTAAACTTTTGACTCAAAGTTGGTATGAAAAAGATTTTAGCTAAAATCTACTCGGGTAGAATGATGAATGTCAAATCTGTTTCAACTTTTTTTTTTTTTGTCATTCTAATGATCCATTAAAGACGCATTAACCCCCAGAAACCCACATTTAGAAAACAACTGCAAAATCGTTTTTTAACCTTCCACATGTTGTTCTAGGAGGCCAGATAAACGGGCCTATTTACACATTTTAACAGCCAATAGTGTTGCAGAACTGAACAATAGGACCTATTAGCAATGTAAATGTGGTTTTAAAAAGAAAAAAAAATGGGGAAGGTTTATTTTTGTAGACAAATCTGATGTTGTAATATTACAACCGTGGGTCTCTGGGGGTTAAGGACAAAATCATGTTTGCATAAAGTCATCCTAAAGGCATTTTATAAACAACACATTTTTCCATTATATATTTTTAGATCAGATTTTCTTATTCTGTTCGCTTACTTTTGCTGTTTTACATCCAAACAGACCACGATGTCATGATCGGGTACAATAGTTGGAAAGGAAGTTGGTGAGGAGTCGGCAAAGTCGAAGAACATTTAGAGGATTAGAGCTGGGGTGACGACCTGTTATCAAATATTACAAGAAAATCTGACTTCTTTTGAACAGAAAATAAATAACTTGGGAGTCTAAAGGCGTTTCATTTTTAACCTCCTGATGCACCACTGCGGTATAAAGTTTATCATATCTGTTACATACTCGACACACTGTGTGTTCAACAAGACAAACAACCAGAAGAACACATTCTCCTGTTAATCATAAACTCACAGGAGTCAGCAGTAAAATGATAAATATTCCTGTCATTGTAAAGTTGTAACAAACCAAATTTATGTGTAGAGCACGTTTAAGAACGGCATGTCAGCTGACCAAAGCACTTAACAAGAGAGGGCACAAAATGGTAATGCTAATGATAAAAAAGAGCGGTGTAATATCAGCGTAAATTTAAACAGCCACTCAGGAGTGCTGCTCTGTGCCTGACCTTTGACCTTCAACTTTATCACTTTATTAACCTGAATAATTGAGTCAGTGACGCCTAACGGAAGCGGGTGAAGCAGCTCGTATTTCTATCCAAGCCAAACACTCCAGCTGAGCCGGGTTTTCCATTAAGCAGTAAGGAGAGTCGGGTTCTCTACGGAACATCCAGAAGTCAGGCACGCCTTCCTGTGCGGGTGGGGGTGATTAGCATGACCCCTTCGTTTGTGGTCCAGAAACAGCATCTAATCTGCTGTGTGTGTGCATGCACACCTATTTTCTGTAAGAGTGATTGTTTCTGTGTGACTGTGGTTGAAACTGGCTGAGAGGGATCAGGATCACTTGGTGCCGTAAGTGCTGCCTCAGCCGTGTGTGTGTGTGTGTGTACGCGAGTGAGTGAGAGACACCCTGCTAAACTGAGCTGACAGCCAAGGCTTGTGTCGTTGCTCTGAGTTTAGTTTTATTTGACTTGGCATCCATTTACTCTTCCATACTCCGTTATTCCTTGTTGTGTGCCCAGCCACTTAAATCCTCCCAGAAAAGCACACACACACACACACACACACACACCTAGAGGTTTTACAGCTAACTATTCTACAACTGAAACTGCTCTTTAAATCAATCTCACATCATTGTATAATCTAACAGTAGATGTTGCCGGGTTGTGATTTTTCATTCTTTTTAAAAAGAAACTATTAACACAAGTATGCTCACATTAGTATTAAAACACCCGTTATTTTACCTCTTGACTAATTTAAATGCTTTGCCTGCGGTGGAATGACGCTGCCACTATCTGGCTGCTCTGATGTTATTCTCTCCAATAACTTTAGATGACTGAGTCATAAATCACCCAATAATTCTCCTTTTTATAGGTTAAATTTCTTTTATAATTGATTAATTCCCATCAAGACTTTTAATGGGGAAGCATGTAAATATCCTTTGGCTCAACTGTAGTCAGAGTTTTATCTCCTCTTTTATAACTAATAGTATCTTCTCTCTTCTGAAGATCAGTGAGGAGTTTGAAGACCTGCAGCTGCATATCGGTGTATACTAAATAAAGGTCCGACGTAATCAGTAACGCATCATAATGCCCTGCTGCACTCTCACACATCTTTACTGTAACACCTGCACAAATCAGAGAGATGACGGCTGTAAAACCCAGTTGCTGATTAGAAACTTGACCTTTGGTTTCTGATCCGTTTACTTTCAGTTTCCTTCCACAAACATAACTTCTATGTCCTCAGTAAAAATACCTGGATGCTTGTTTCTAGAGCAACTCATTATGGACCAGGATGTAAAAGTCACTTTTATATTATTACAGCATATTTATTTTAGGCGCGCGCGCGCACACACACACACACACACACACACACACACACACACACACTGAATTAATGAATAGAATCCTGCAGACATGTCTATCCAGCTCCCTAATTTTTGTGCCTTCATTTCTTCAAAGACCTTGTTCTTTTCTGTCGCTGTCCTCTCCCTCCTTCTGCCTCATAATAAGTTCACTTTTTAGAACCTTAAGGAGGCGATACCGCATCTCTCTGCTGAACTACAAAAGAAGGAAACGATGCTGTACAGTTTGACCAGGACCATTGTCAGTCAGCTTGAAATCGAGGCATCCATGAGGAACTCTGTTTGAAGCTACCATTGTTTAGGGTCCTGCATCACAACTACGAACTTCCAGCTCCACCCCAGACCCATCTTAACCTTGGTCAGTTGTAGTTCATGGCCGTATGAACCCCTGTTGTTCCCCCGCCTGACCTCAGTCTTTCCAACTGCTTTTTCACCACTTGCTGAGGAACAACCAGCAAATCTCTCCAAGCCCCTTCCCTCCACTCAACCATCTGATGCCATTCAGGAGGAGCCTGTGGTCTATAAGAAGCAGCCTCCACAGTCTCTTTCCTTCTGGACCTCAACGTCTTCTGCTCGACACAAATTCCCTAAGGATGTTGTACAGCGACACTAACTCATCCTCCACTAACTCACAGGGCACAAATCTAGAATCCGATGCACCTCATCCACAGTTTTCACCGACCACTTTGGTGGTAGGTGATTCAATAATTTTTTATGTCATGACAAGATGTTTCCCATCAGCCACCATCCCTGCTATTCTGAATAAACTTCCTGGTCTGCTGTGCTCCATCTCAGTTTCAGTTAAATGAGTAACCATTCGTGTGGGAGTCTGTCATCACACATCAGCATTTTAACCATCTCTTTGACATTTTAAAGAGCAGTGGAATAAGTTTTCATCTCTGGCTCATTTCCCACAGTTTACTGTGAATATGGAAGATGTGGCACCTGCTCTCTCCACTTCTGGCTTCAGGGCTTGCAGGTCCCTCAGTTTTGGTTTGATTGGTACCTTCAACCTTTTGCTGTTTTTCACCACTGTATTTGCCCACTGTGGGATTAATAAAGTTTATTCTATTCTCTTCTATAACTGACATGGCTCAAGCAGGCTAACCCCCCCCCCCCCCCCCCCCCCCCCCCAGTCTTCCCTCGATGCAACCATCTGTGTGTTGTTTAACATTTTCTTCTACTGAAAAAACAAAGTTTTCCTATTCATTCATTCATCATCCTGCAAGGATATGAACAGTTTTTATCCCAGAAATGTATTAGATGTTTATGACCCATCCCTCTCCAACGGGTTAATAAGACAGATGATGTCCTAGATTCAGTTCAGTGTGCCCTGCTAAATGCTCGATCCATTTCAAACGGATCCTTTATTTTAAATGAGCTGTTCATCAGCAAGGGCTTGGACTACTTATTTCTTACTGAGACTTGGCAGCAAGATGGAAATTGTGTGCATTCTAATGGAACATGTTCACCAAATTTCTCTGCGTGTACCACACCACGCCCATCACATCATGGTGGCGGTCTTGCTGTGATCTTTATGGACAAATATGTCTGTAATTTGATGAAAAGTGGCTTGTTTACTACTTTTGAATGTCAGGTCATCAAAGTAGGGTTACGAAATGTATTTCTCTCTATTCTATCTTATCGACCTCAGGCCAGCTGTCCCTTTTCTCTCTGAGTTTGCAAAGTTTTTTCATCAATGATCAAGCTAGAATAGGTTTTAATTCTTGGTGACTTTAGTGTACACATTGATGAGCCTGCTTGTAGCACAATAGTAGAGTTTATATCTTTTACAGAGTCTTTTAACTTTGAACAGCATGTTTCAGGACCCACACATTAAAAGGGCCGCACGCTGGATCTTGTTTTTCATACATGTTGAAGAGGTTAAGGTGAGTGACCACAGCTATATTTTCTTTAAAGTCTAATCTAACATTGATCCTGTCCCTCACAAATGGAGAGCAGACAGATGCATCATTAATCAGTCAGCAGTGGATAGATTTTCTACATTATTGTACAGCAGCTTAATTCATGGTGATGAT